AATAAGAAAACAAATTTTTCTAAAAATATCCTCAAGCACACAAGCACAAGTTGACCCCATTGCTCAATGGATTGATGAGAAGGGACAGGAGGTAGTTGCCCTTTCTAACGTCACCTCATGCACCAACCTCTACCAACCATGCATACAAACACACACTCTCTCTCTCTCTCTCTCTCATTGTCATGACTCATGTGCATGTTCTTCAATTTAATTCGAAGCTGGTAGAGTCTATCCTTTTGTGGTTCTTATCATATTGTTGCTTCTCCCACATCGAAGCCCACATGAATGGGTAGGTACGCTCTCCTCTTTGTTTTATGGGTTCATTGTACTTTACCCACAATCATGGTTTTAGGGCATCTAATAATTCGGTCTTTACCTTTTAAAGCTGGCAAAATATTACGTTGATTAGCTTTTGGTGTGTGCGAAAAAGAAAATTACCTGATGGTCGAAGTTACGTACGAAGAAAATAGGGTTATGCGGCTGCCTCTCGTTTGGTTTCGTACACAACTCTAGCTACCTTGGTCGCAAATTGAAAAGTCAAACATATGGGCACGAGGAATGAAGGGCTGGATTTCACTTTAATTTCATGTTTTTTATTTAAATTTAGATGTGATTTCGTTTTGACTTCTCAAATTGAAAATTTATTGATAGAACACAACGCATCGTTTTAGGTCAACAAATTTATCACTTTCGTTCATTTGTTCCTTTTCTTTCTTCTTTTGGTAATCTTCACTTTCTTTGTATTCCTCCAATCGATATTGGGAGAGGTCGATTCTAACAGGACATCGAATACAAGAACAACTGCTCTAAACTACTTGAGCTACAAACTCCCTTACTTTATACTCTTATTTTTATAATACAAGTATAGATAGGGGGACTTATTTCTTGCTTCTCCTTTACAACAGGCCTTTACCATTCGAACCAAATGAAATGTATTCTTATTCTTTACTCATTAGCCTATGAAAATATACTTTAATAAGAAGAACAAAATTATGTACATGCACCTCCTCCTCTCTCTCTCTCTCTCTCTCTCTCTCTCTAATTTACGTATATGTCAATACTAAAAGCTTCAGAAAAAAAAATTAGAAAAAAAAAAAAGAAGCAATGGTGGATGATGATGGATGATTTACTTATATGCCAGATAACCAAGTAGCCAATAAACCCCATACCTTTTAAAAAGGCATCAAATTTGGCTGGCTTAAATCTAAATTCTCAATATTCCCATTAATCCAGGAATCTCATACCTCACTGGACGGCCACATGCATAACCTTCTTCTTCTCTCTTCACTTCTGACTCACCCCACCACCACCACCAAACCCTTAACTAACCAACTGTTTTTATTTCTTTTTCTCCGTTACTATATTCTTATCATATTAATTTTTAATTAGAGATCGGTTACCTACCTTCCAAACATGTCACATGTACATCCTTTTTCTTTTTTTTTCTTTTTTTTCTTTTTTGTATTGGATGTCACATGTACATCTTGCTTCTCCTTTTTCCCTTCTCTGTCTTCACATGAGATATTTAAATTCATTATCACTCTATTATGCTTTCTGATAACTAAAATATCCTCATCACCACCACCACCAGGACCCACTCTCTTATTGAAACTTTTGGGTAAATGCTGTGTAGTACATGTAATCCTTCTAAAAATTGGCATGCTAATATTGCTTTTAAAAGGTGAAATAAATATAAAAATACAAATGACGCACTAGTGTAGTGGTTTAGAGAAAATGTTCCTCAAATAAAGATTACGGGTTCGAATCTTACAATCCACGTAGTGTGTGTGAGTTTAATATGTTTAGGTCTCAAAAAACTGAGAAATAAAATTGGAGTAGTCCTCCTTTCATGAGCTGATTTTTGTATTAGAGATCATTTTAATTACTGCTTCCATTTCTATTGGTCATTGTTATATTTTGCAGTACTTTAATTTGGGCTTCTCGTCTTATCTCAGCTGGAAATTGACCGTGATTATAAAGTATTAAAATCCATATTCTTGATCACTCATCTCCTTCGAGCTTCGACTATCAGAACAATCATTCAAGATCTTTGACAGCTATACTTCTGGATTTTCGTCAAGTTTCGTTAAATCATGCTTATAGGCTAAAAGAGATCATGCATCTTCACATACTTGTGTTTGGTTTGAAAAAACTATATATTACGATTGAGGGATCCTGAAATAAATTTATTTAAATAATATTTTTATGGGGCTCACTCCGCTCCTATTTCAAAAATCTGAAGCATTTATGTTTTACGTATTCTCTCAATCATCGCCGCAAAAATCATTTTAACATAAATTACCTAATTACTCAATTAAATGATTATCATTTTAGTTTTTTTTTTCCTCGAAACACCTTAGTTCATCTATTTTAGATTAATCTACATAAAATAAATCTTATGTCTAACATTAGGGTAGGGACATGTTTCCATCGTTGGTATAGATTTTCCTGCGGAAGCCTTTTCCCCAGAGATTATGCCCCCCACCCAAATCAATATAAACTCAATCCTACCAGCTTCAATCTCACACAATCAAATTGTATATAATTGTTTAATGAGTTGGTGTTTCTAGGTGGAGAGAGAGATCCGCCATTCCTGAGACAAGATTCCATATATACACGTGGTTTATATTAAATCATACTAATAATTTATATTTTCTTCATTAGTGGTTGGTAGGTCTAACCATTCCCATTCCCATTCCTACGTTTAATCTTGGACTGTCCCAAGGTTCTAGAACCATATTTTTATAATTTAAAGTTTAATTAAACCACGAGAAGCCTTACTTTTTTTTTAACTTTTTTTTTCAGTCGGATTTAGACCTTCAAAGGCTAAGAAAATGAAATGAAGGAAATTGAAAAGGATAGCATTTAAAAATAAAAAAAATCATGGTAGCTAGCTACTAGCTAGGAACAACGTGTTTAGTTTGCGGGACAAGTCATATTTGTGAAAGTAGATTGGAGGAGGATGCATTTGAATCCAAGACGGCCAAAAAATCACTACTGTTTATTCTATTGATTTTTTTTAAAAATTAAATCCAGCACTGCTGTATGATAATTTATTCCTAATCAAACCTCCATTATCATGGCCTGTACACGCACACCAACAATTTGATGTTATGGCACTAGTGGTCTTAGTCAACGGTCAATGTTTAAAGAAGTAAGTGCTTAATTTTTGTTGGCATCAAACTTTATGGCTTGTTTAAAAGTGTTTTTGAATAGGCCAAAATCACTTATGGGAAGATACACTTCCTACATACTTATCTAGAAAATCACTTAAAGCGATTATATGGACATGAAAGTGATTATTGTCTTATCCAGATTCACTCCCAAACGAACGTAAAATTTTCACATATCAGTTGCATCACTCGTTGGAAGATCAAACAGAGAAGACGATATATATTTATAATGAATTCGATATCTATTTAATTATAACCACATTGTGATGATGTAAATTGATATAAGTGTACTGTTCCGTTGTAAAAATAAAAATGAATCATTATTTGTAAGCAACCAAGAATTGTTCCTTCTCGACGGCAGAAATATTTATACTGACATGCACATCATAGGAATAGGGCTACAAAAACGAGAAGAAAAAAAAACTAAAAAAAATCACGTTTAGATACTTATACAGATAGGCTTTTAACAGAACACTTCTCATATTCTAATCGTTTGAATAAAAATTCAATGACTAAATTAATAGAAGAAAGTCAATCAATCAACCTAATAATAATAATGAAATTAATATTAATAGAAGGCTTAGAACATGTGAGCATATGCCACATGTCTATCTCTCCATGTCTATGTTGCAACGTGACTGTGCAATTATGTCATCCGGCATGTATAGTTTTATGCAAGACGGTAGATGCCAAGCTAGTTAGGTGGGTGATAAAATAAATAAATAAATCATCACTCATACTCAGGTGGATGGTAGGTTTTTGAGAATATGATACACCAAATAATTCAAGTCAAAGAAAACAAGATACGAGAAAAAGAATATGGTATCACCATTGCTAATCTTTACCTAAATCTACCCAAAATTGGTTACATAAAGTCAGGTTGATCCATATATACCAGAGAAGAAAGTTAGTCTGGTTGTTTATTTTAGCCAGTGGGATTGGACTGATTGATTGACAAGCTTATATTCCTAATTGCGCAAAGGTAGGAGTCGCCGGGTTGGAATCATTGGTCTTAAATTGAACTAATGAAGAAGGTATGGTGCTAAAAAAATATGATCGGACTGTGACATAGTGTCACGTAATGTTATTAGTCGACTTATATTATTTAAATTATACCTTAAATTCGTCAATCATTACCTGGTATTGATAATTTCATGTAGCGTTGTTACGGTCAAATACAGAATTTCTCGGTAAGTATCTATAACAAGTTAATTTTTAACAAAACTGCCCTTATTATGTCCCACAGAAATTGACACTTCCTCCAACTGTTTCTGATTGATGTTATGGAAGTCAAGCACCCGAATAATGCCGGTTGCCAAACACAAATTACAGCTCACTAGAGAGAGAGAGAGAGAGAGAGAGAGAGAGTTTGGCAGAAATTATGTGTGCATCAAATGCACATGTAGGATGGATAGTCTTTGCACATGCGACAAGTTTTAAATATGGCCAAACCTCATCAGCTTTGGCGACCCTACATCTCAAATTTCAAATGAAATATTGAGTGAACTCATCAAATCTCTAATTTCAATGATAAATTGTACAAAGACAAAATTCAGAATGGAAAAAGTGAAATCGGAAGCAAATAATTATTAAATAGTACTAAAATACGATTATAATTTAAATAGTCAGTTCGCATGTTATAATATGAATAGACGATAATATTTCATTATAATATACTTGTTCCATGATAACACTATAATTACTCGTACAACAAGAGTTACATCCAGAAAGTAATGGATTCAAGTGAAGGTAACAACAACTATACCAAATCTGTAAGATTTATCAAAAGAAAAAAAGAATTTAACCCCAAAAGGAGTAAAAACCATGCTATGAATTCAAAGGTCTGTGAAATCTGTAGAATCCATTTGTGCACTGACAATTCCTGCAAGCCTCACTGCTCTGAAATCCAACCTGACAACACAAACACACCGCCTGAGTCACCACCGCCTTCTGCACTGTCCCAAAAACCTGGTAATTATTCTGCTGCAGTCTTGACTCGGCCGAGTTCCCCGACGAAGCCCGAGTTGGCTCGGACTGGAAGGGCTCCAGCCCAATTGAAAGATCCAAGTTGAGGTCACTACACTTGTACATATAATGATCTTGCAATTTCTGCTGTTGCTGTTGCTGTTGTTGTTGTTGGTCTTCCTCTGTGGTGGTCCCACTGCTGGCCTCTTCTATGTTGTCCTCTTCCATCTTGGGCTTGAACAGTATAATATTGTTGTGGTTGTTGTTGTTCGAGGAGGTTTTGTTGATGGTTTTGTGATGCAATATGGAATTTTTGTTGGTGGTTTTATCGACGACGGCGGATGGCGGAGAAATGTTTCTGAAATCTAAGCGAGAAGCAGGTGTCGTGGCGGCCGCGGCGGCGGTTGTGGTGTCGTTGAGCGGACGGTGGGTTTGAGGGTCGAGGCCGCGGCTGATGAGCTTCCGCTTGATGTGTGTGTTCCAGTAGTTTTTTATTTCGTTGTCGGTTCTTCCCGGCAATCGCCCCGCAATCAACGACCACCTAAAAACAACAAACCAAATTACAATGAATAAGAATGACAATTGACTTTTCCAACGATCATTTCGTCTAGTAAGAAAATTCTGACGAAACCAATATGAATGATCATTGAATTTCAATGATTCAATGATTATTTCGTCTCGATTGAAGGAGGTTCTGAGTTCAAATCTCATGACGAAATCTCGTAGTTGTTTAAAAGAAAAGTAGTTAAGACTGACAAAGTGATTTCCGAACAATAATTTTCCCAGCAACAAACCAACCAACAAAGAAAAGTGGGCCATGAATAAGATTACATACTTGTTTCCAAGCAAGCTATGGAGCTTGATGATGAGCTCATCTTCTTCTTCTGTGAAATTTCCACGCTTGAGGTCAGGGCGAAGGTAGTTTATCCATCTCAGCCTACAGCTCTTGCCGCACCTAAGCAACCCTACAGGCATTAATTCGACACAAAAATAAGTACAAATTCAATTAATTTAAGCAAAACTAAATCATGGGTTATAATTAAGTACATATGAAACAGTATTATATATATAGATAATTGAATTTAAAGATTTGAAAATATATATATATATATATATACCTGCGGCTTTGGGGAGGGAGCGCCAGCAGCCTTCGCCATGGACGCGGATGTAATCGATGAGGCGCTGGTCTTCTTCTTTGGTCCAAGCGCCTTTGTTGGTGTGAGCTTTCTCACAGCAAGGTGACCTCCCCATCAAATTTTTTGTTCTTGTTCTTGTTCTTCTTGTTGCTGCTTAATTTTTGTAATGATTAATTAAGAAATCAGATTGAACAGAAGACAACAGAACTGCAATAAGTAGCTATTGGAAGAGAGAGATTGCGGTATATGTAGCAAACAGTGAGTTGTTATATGGATAAGTAGGACTGGTTTTTTTGTGGTGTTTTGTCTGTACCCGTTTTGAAAGAGCTGAAAAGGATAAGAAGAGAAAGACCAGTACAATTCAGAACAGAGAAAGAGAAAGAGAGTTTTGGTTTTGTTGAAATTTTGGGAAGAAAGAGATTTATATGTACAAAGGGTGGGGATGATGAGAGAGAGAGGGAGAGAGATTTATGAGGAGAGTTGAGGTGGGGAGGGAAGGATTTGACCGAGTTGGTGAAAATGACGAGTGGTTAGTGGTTACAGATAGGGCTGGATTTTGGTAGGTAGCTCTACTTTTACGTCACATTCGGCCCCTTTGTGGGCTCTCTTTTTCTATCTCTCTAATGTCTGGATTCAAAAATCAGACCTTCTTTTTTTGTTTGGTGTAAGAGTTCCGTTATTAACATTCGCTTTAGCGTGCGTGAGTGACTGTAATTGTAAATTAAGTCGTGATCGTATCATAAGATCTGTTCTCATTAGATGCGTGCTCAAACAATTGTTTTTAGCTTTCCATATTGGTAAGAGAAGAAAAAAAAGGAAACTATGGGAATTCTAAATCAATGTCCAAACTCCAAGTAGGAAACTATCTCATTCGTCATTTCCATGTGGCTTAGAGGGACACACAACACAACATTAGGACAATTGCCTGCCTACCAATTTCCTGCTGGCTGAGGTTTCCTTAGTTGGCTTATGGTGGCGCCTTACTCGAGGGTATATTTGTCTTTTAGCTTAAGATAGACCACATGATCTTATCTACATAAATATTATACCATAAATAAAAAATTAATAAAAATTAAACTTTTACGAATTAAAGAGTTATTTTCCGAGTCATATTTTAGGCGGTTGCTTATCCAATCCGTCCTCATAGTATTCTCAAAAGCATTATCAAAGGTGCTCTAAAAAGGTATTTTCTTGTCAAAGGAGGATTGAAAAAGGGGCTCAAGTGAATATTGGACGAGCGGGGAAGGGATATGATAAGGTAAAAAAGTACGTGTGTTTTTGTCTAGTTGTAGCCAAGTTCAATGGAAAACTTTAAGAAAAAAAAACTTTATGAAGAAAAAAAAAGAAAAGGAAAACCAGGTGGAAGCTCACATGCCAAGTGTAATATCTAAAAAAAAACTATTATTTCTGTCTTTTTTTTTTTTTTTTTTTTTTTTTTTTTTTTTTTTGAAAGAAAAAAAGCTAATGCACTTGTCTAAAAGCCTTAGCTCAGGTGACATGTGATTAGGAGTAGGTCTCAATCTGGTTGAACCGACTAAATTGATTGATCCAAACTGTAGTAAATGGTTTGATTTGATTTTAAATCGGGCCGTAATAATTCGGTTACAATTTTGAGCCGGAATGTTATGAAGAGACAGTGCAAAGTAAGGAATCAATCAAGTGGGAGATGAGATAAACTCCCACTAAACTACCAAAGACCAAAAGAACTCCTACAGAAACAAATGGGTTTATGTATTGGATCAAGGAAGAAGCTTATTGTGCAAATGGATTTCAACAAAAGGAGGGAAATGATTACACAAATATATTTTCACCATTTGTGAAGCTAACCACAATCAGCTGGTTGGTGCTAACTAGAGTGGGGACATATATGGAACCTTTATTGAGAAGTATTACTGAGACCAGTTGATGTTTCAACTTTCAAAGGCTTGCTAATGTCTTTTAGCACTCGATTACCTTTCTGATATAAACCTTAAATGCAAAATCCAGAATCTAAAACCACGATGCTCAACCCTAGACCCAATATCAATGTCGTTTCGGACAAGAACACATTCTACATAATTAAAAAAAACATTAGTAAAATATCCTATTCTATTTTAAGCAATAAAAAAATGTCAACTAAACTAAAGGGAAAAAAAAAGAGAGGAAACAATTGGTCCTTGCCGAATAGGGCACAAAAATAAATGCAGCATACAGTACCTCAGTAGAATATCAAAGCATACCGACAATCCGATCACTAAAGGAAAGGAGAGAATTTGATTACTGCAAAAGAATTTTCCCTTGATCTGTTATTGTACATGTACAATGAATTTTGGGTAACAAACTACCAAGTTGCAGAGTAAACCAACCAAAATATCAATACCTTAGGATACACTTCCCTCTACTCAAATGAAAGAAAATTTAACAACTTATTTGAATGATACACTATTTTTCTAAAATGACAATTGAATGATACACTAAATTACAGGTGAACAAAAAAATTGTAACCCTAGTGAATAATTTTATGTATTGAAATCAGTCTTGTTTGTCGCGTAACTGTTTTCGTTTCTAGCTTCTGATTCTTTACACATACAATCTGGCATGGGAAATGTAAATAGTGACGCACTGGTTTTTTTCAGTTCAACACCCTTTTGGTCACTATGGCGAAGCATGTCTTGCATCTGTCGTTTGAAATCTTCCCATCTGCAAAATAAGAAATGTCGATGAACAAACATGTAAAGTTGCTTGTATAAGCTGCTTTATACTGAAAAATGAGGCTGTGAATGAACAGATCAACAAGAAGTCATTGGAGGTAAAACAAATTGCATACATGTTTGTTTGTTTGTGTGCTTAAACTTCCATTATTTGCCCCTTTTATTATCCGCTAATGTAATCTTTATACAACTAATTTCTCTTATATAATTTGGAATCGACAACCATAACAAACCCATTACAGTGAATCCTGAGGTTCTCAAAGTTAACAAACATCAAACAGATGACAATGCACATTCCTAGCCTACCACAAAACAAAAAGTTGAACGGTAGAACTATGATTTTTGTATTCTAAATTGAATTTTAATATCTGTAAAATGCACAAATTTAAAATGTAGAAAGACAAAAACTGTTATTAGTTACCACTACCCCCATGTTGTAGCTTACATAAATAAAGAACTGTTACTTATTCAACAGATCAATACAAATGTAACTGGACAGTTCAACCACATTTTACCTGATACTGGGATTATCAAACAACAGTGCTAATTTTCTTTTATCAGGGTTGATTGTCTTCGAATGTCCACCATAGAGATACCGCCTGTGACCCATCAAGAAGTGTGGAAAATTTCCACCCTGGGTGGTGACAAATACTTCACTGTGAAGGCAAACCGTGTAATCAAGAGCAGCCAATCTAGATAAGTGGCCCTACATCAGAAATGTTGACATTGAAAAGATTAACTTGACGCTAACCCAATGGACCTACTGTAGAGATGGTATAATTAATATATCACTACTTTCAAGCTAATGCTTGCTTTTGTTCTCTGTGAATGCAAATAACATGCCTCATATGGTACCTGAAAAGGAGCAAGTTCTTCTGCAGTAGCCAGTGTGTCTTTCATTTCCAAGCGTGGAAACATCTGCTTAAGAGGAGCCATGTACTTCTCTGCTTTATAAATTTTGCCTGCTGCTATGTATACTGAAGTGGTATTATCAAATCCCATTCCCCTGAGCATCATTCCTACCTACAGCATAAGATACTTAATTGGTCAGAATTCAAAAAGAATTGCACACTAATCATAGTATGCAAAAGAGATGACAGAAGGAAAACAGAATCTTTCACAGTAATCAGATTTCATTCATATTGGGTATGCCCCATATTTTTAGCTATAAAACCTTATTATAGCTCCCTACTCCCTAAATATAAAAAAATTACAAAAGTAAACTGAAAAAATAAACCTGCAATACATTTTATAATTACTGGAAGCTCCATGACGTATCTACTTCAGTTAATTATTACTACTGTTGTTGTTATACTCCAAAGTAGTTGATTGTAGTAGAAGTAGAAATTATCTGTTAAAGATATCTGAACATTGCGTTATAGGCAGGCTTGTTCTGTTTAAGGAATTTAATTTAAAGTGTTTTAAGAACAGTTTACCCATGCAACAGAAAAGAAATTAAGAAATTCAAATCAAAAGAAGGAAAGACAGCTTTATACCTCTAATGGGGTTAAAGGGCATTTCCCATCCACACGATTTGCACCTGGCCTTATTACTCTACCCCTTCTCCTGAATTTTCCTCTCCAACCTCTTTCTCGAGCAATATCCATTTCACGTTTCTCTTCCTCCCCACCATCATATTCACAGCAAGAAAATGCAACCATGTCCTTTGATAAAGAGAATAGCATTTAGAACTTAAGGAAAAACAGCTACTGAAGAACTCAGAAACTGTTCATTTAAAAGATGAACAAATATACACCTCTTCAAATCGAAGATGTACTGAAACATATTTTCCCCCGCTGTGGGAGCTACTTTTAATCATTCGATCAACCATTTTATCTGCAAGAATTCTTATAGAATTTGAGAACCGCAGTGCTTCGAAATTGGCTAAGCATCTAAGCATTTGCACATTTGAAGGAACTGCATGAGCCAATCTGTTGGAAAAAGGTGCAATGCGCACAGCCCTGCAATATGGATTGAGGGAAACTATATATAGCTGTCACATACAATGTAATGCACGCCAATGTACATATATATATATATATATATACAGTGAGCTTCAGATGAGGGACACCCTTGTAGAGCCCACTCCGTATTGTATTTCACTGATTCAAACCGTCTATTTTGTAGATATTCATTCAAATATTATTTATACAAAAAATCACTTGAATCCGATATCATTTGACCACTCAATTGAATTATTGAAATTTTGGTACTTTCTTAAAGCACAGTGTTCATTGATTTTGGACACAATTGGATATCGAAACGGTTTCCAGTTTGTCTAATTTTTTGCAAGGATGATCTATGAATGTAGACTTAGAAAATAGACTGTTTGGATTGTTGAAAAAAAAAAATTGTAGGGGACCCTAAAGGGTGTCTCTCAAATTATATATATATAAAACAAATTGTAATATAAATAAAACTATAGGTAAGATGCATACCCCATTTTCTCCAACTTTGGGAGGACCTTTTGAAGATAATAAGCTGGACTTGACCAACCTTTCACTCTCAAATTCACAATGTTGCTTATATTATTGTCAAACCGCTCAAGTATATCACCTGGGAGCTCCCTGACCACATTCACGTGATTTCTGAGAGCATGAATGAAGAAATCTTCATCAAATATGTTCCCAAAGTGGCTGCAACAAGTTGAAAATAGAGTGGTCAATACCTTGCATTATCGAAACATGAACTTTTCAATATCATACTGTCACACTTTACATATACTCTCAGTAGTGGCCAGCATTTTCCCCTTCAAAGTGGTCAAATTTTGAAGCTTAGGACCCATTAGACAACCATGCACCAATCAAAATGCTGTGAGATCATATTGTATATTGCATCCAATATATATGCAAACCTTTGCATGTACTATCATCTTGGGCTAGCACTTTTTGATGAAGCCTTGCATAATTACAACTACAACCCAGCTTCATTTAGGGAAAATGTCTTCCCCTTTCCAGAATCAACAATTATTTTGCAATGGAGCTTTAAGTGCAACTCAACTTCATTTAAACCCTTCATAATAAAAGAATAATGGAGAGATGGATTATATGTGATGGTACCAAAGCAGATTTGCAGAGAAAAGAGTTGATGGATGATGTTGATCGCACTGCCAACTACGGAAGATGGTAGGGAAAGGTCTGGATTTTGGGAAATTGAGAAGGCTAGGAAAATTGATTTGTGGACTTGGATCTAATGAGGATGGAGGTGACTTGGTTTTGGGTATTAAGCTAATGAAGAGGGGAATCAATCTCAGTTGGTTTTTCTCAGAGCATTTTGTTATTTTAGGGAGACTGGGTAATTGGTATAGGTTTTTATTTTGACATTTTCTTTAGTATCTGATTTGGAAAAGGATAAAAGAAACCCAGCCAGAATGCATCATTTAGAGTTAAGGTTTTTCTTAAAAAGGAAAAAAAGAAAACCCAAGAGCCGAGTACCTCATAGGTAAAGTCTTATTGCACCTTTGCGCGAGCACCTGTTAAATTAGGTGTACGCCCTTTTGACCTTTTTCGAGACCAGAGGTGTTTCTCTGCAAGCCTTACCCCACAATCCAAAATGACCCCAAGCCCTAATCCTAACCCCCTTTTCTTATGTTAGTCATGGGCGATGGTACCCCAATAGGTAGGGAACTATCATAGCAGCGCCCCAGCCAACCTTTGTTATTATGGCAGCACCCCAATGGGCTGGACACTGCCATGCAGCATGCCTCATGTCTGGGCACTGACATGCTGCCCAGCCAAATTTTCTTAATTATTTTTGTCCTTTTTAGGTAATTTGTAAAACTTTATCAACGGGCGAGAGAGAGACAGAAGGAGGAGAGGGGGGGGAGGAGATGATCTTTCTAAATTGTTTTGCAGAGTATTTTTTTATTCTATTTTATATTTCGGGACAAGAGCAAGGAAGTGGGAAATAAGTGCAGTACAATAACCAAGGACGATGCAAGAGCAATCTAGCAATTAAGTTAGCATAGTTATATAGTGCTGAACTAACTATGGCAAACTATTTAGAAAGATAATAGAATACAAAAGTCACCACATAGATGGTAATGCAGCTGATGGTGATTAAGATCATAATCATAATGGTACAATAAATCAAATAATCACCTTGAGTCTCTCCAAACACTATTTAGATGAAAAATTGGGATCAGAAGAGTTGCATTCAAAAGTCCAGCCACAGCAACTGCATCACATATCTATATTGAAGTTGTGAAGATAAATGTCAGAGGGGAAAAAAAGGAAAATCCAAGAGGCACAAGACATGGTTGAGACAACTATTTTAGACGCAAGTGTCCAAATCTAGCCTATTCATGAAATTCACGCACAAAATTTTTGTCCAAGTGTAGTTAGGTGGAATAAAATGAGAACACAATCCCATATATATTCATGTACGTCTCTGGCTAAAACTACACAAAGAAATTTAGCATGAAAGGTTGCCAAACTATCAATCAAATTGCTATGATTGACAGTCCAGCGACATATCACACCAATAGAAAAAGAGCATTATATATGCATATAGTTTGTCTCTCCTACGTGACAACAATGTGCAAGAACAATGTGCATGCTCCTTTTCGTTATTGATTGAGTGTGCACACATATATATATCAAGCCTCCTCAAAAAGACAAAAGATTTCATAACCAAAAGTACAAAAAGACAGTTCCTTGGTGTTTCCAAAACAACACACTTCATCCACATTAAGGAGTATATTTTCACTTTATAACCAAAAAACAAGAATAAAAGAAAACTTTAAAATGAACACTACAAACTCTGTCACTAATTAATTTCTTTATGCAAATATCCAAACCACAAACATCAAAATAACAATAAATCAAACAAAGGGCTGATTAAGAAAATGAATTTCAGTTGGATACAATCACACCTACCGATAAGCGCTGCTGGTTCAACCCACCATTCGCTTCAATTATAAATAAACCATTTGACTTTGGTAATGCTGTTCCTACATTCCCTCCAAGTATTAAAAAACAGAAGTTAGTTATTCATTTTGTTTTAACAACGAACCACATAATTATTCATTCTATTTGCCAATTATCAAATAACACAAATTAAAATTAAAATTCCTGCCACATTAAGTTAAAGATAGACGAGCAAATAGAAGCAATCTAAACATAATAAGGAATAACATATCACTTAACGAAAACATGTCATATATCTTTCTACAAAACATCTTTCAATAAGTATTTTTCCACACAAAATGTGAAGATGAAGCATGATATCTTGGTAAACATTTGTGTGTGTGTGTGTGTGTGCACTGGACAGAGACAGAGTGTTTTTCCTTTTGGAATAAACCAGGTTTAGTATTTTCTTATGCACCCTCCAACCCTATCGCTCCACCAGTGTACAGCATGCATGTGGTGATCTTCTCTTTATCTGGCATTTGAGACCCATATAAATTATAAAGCCTCGTCTAAAAATGGTTGAGAGTGTAGTGTAGGGCGCGTATTGCCAAGAGAGGCTGCAACACCCACTACATGATGAGTTTGATTAAGCAAAATCGGGTAACCAGTAAAATAAATGTATCCATCAGTCAATTAAAATAGGTCATTGTCAGTTAACAGTGATCCTCATATGGAAAACTCAAACCTTCTTTTGGTGTATCTTTGCTAATACAAGGCTTCCAAACTTGATGCACTTTTGAATTCCACACTGTCATCAACTGCACGATTTTCATATCAGTATGTAGTCAATTCACATAGTTCACATTGGCTGTAAACATCATTAAGAAATTTTTGCAGAAGTGCATAAGAAAATATTGTAACCCCAAAGAAGAGGTTACTCTAGAGGGCTAGAGATTGCAGTGATTTCGTATAAAGACAGTAAATTTTTGTATCAAAGGTATTTTGATTTGATGAATGCAGTGTTATTTTTGGCTATGCTGATTAAATTAAGTGTCCTTTATACAAACCCAAATCAAGAAATCCTAATACGTAACAGAAAGTAGACAACAATGCATATCAAACTGAACAAATAAGCATGCGCATTGATTGGTATAATGCTCAAACTCTAAGAACTTACAAACACACAACAAAAAGCTGTATTTTCAATCCCACAGCCAATCCAATACAAACAAAGTTTGGATAAAACAGAAAAAGCACTTACAAAATTGTGAGTGTGATTGCTCTCAGCCTGCATATAAGGCCAAAGCTTCTGAAAAACCTGAGGGCTCCTATACAAGGAGCCCGGCGGCGACCGCTTACTAACAACAACAACAGCGTTTTTCAAACTAACTACATCGAAGCTCACCGAGCCCATATACAACAACATCCCCGAAATGTACAACAATGGCGCGAACAAAAGCACTCCTCGGCGCTTAAAAACGACCGAAATGAGCAAAACCACAACTTTCTCCACAATGCTCTGCTTGGGGCCTCTGCCGCCGGCGTTCTTGTTTCGGCCGTGGCGGCAGCGTGGGGAGGACGGCGGAGAGCCGGCGGCTCGGGGATTGCCGAGCCGGCTGTAGCCGTGCATTGGAGGAGAGAACTAGGGTTCTAGAAATTTCTAGAGAGAGAGGAGAGTCGAGATCTGATTGTGGGAGAGAGGAGATGAGGAGGAGACATTATGTGATTACATGAGAGAGAGAGAGGTTTTGGGTGGTTTTGGGGGAAGACAAGATAATAAAGGAGACCGCGTGGGGAGGGCGGCTGTCATGAATCACGGGAACTGGAGATGCCACTTTGATGAGAGAGTGGTGTGGGTGTGTGGGTGTGTGGGTGTGGTTTCCGGTGGCCCCAGACTGCTAAGAAAAGAATATTGTTGTTTTATCAAGTGAAAAGCTTATCTTCACTCAATCAAACTGCAAAATTTATTTTCAACCAAAAATAAACACAAGTATGGCAACCTCCTAGCAATTTTATTATCTTCATTCCCTAAGTGGTCAATAGCATGCCATTCTTCATGTATTCAAAGTCTTATGTTGGATTTTTCTCTCAATTTCACTTGTATTAAAACATTATATATATATATATATCAATCATGTTCTTCGACACAATAATTGAAAGAAATGAAATCTATTAGTTATTCATCAAAATTTCATTTATTCAATTACTATAATTAAACGAGGGTATATAGCTCAAAGACGTAGAGCAAAAATTTGTTTATTTGCGTAAATCTTTCGAAGGGCTCATTCAAGACTTACTTGTATTATTACTCAACATAAAATAAGAGCCTTTATTTTAGCTCATTAGCATAGCATAGGGGAAGACAAAAGAGAGAAACACAACATGAAATGGGTTCAATAAACGAAGCACAAGCACAACATAAATAAAATTTATAAAATAATAAAACTAAAACAAACGGTAAGTGAGTTTGACAGTGTAATAATAATACATGCGTGAATTAAATATTACATGTGCATTGGGCTACTTGACCTATTTATAGACAAGAGATGGGATGCATCTATTGTGATTTCCTCTGTGTGGGACTAATGACATTACTTTGTATGAGGGCAGCATGGCGAAGGACAACTTTGTTCCTTCTTCATGTCGAAGGTGGACACATTCTCCATTTTCAAAGAAGGGTTCGGTGCAGTTACATGGTTTGGCAAAGGGCAAACTAAGCGATTCTACACCTAAAGGGGCCTTTAGCATGCACGACATCATCTTACTGTTCAATTCTTTGCCGATATTTATCGGTCATATGTGGTATAAACAATGTACTTTATAAGATTATGGATCAAGTATACCAAGTTATGGTACCCTATTGTAAAAAAAAACAATGTAATTGTAGTCCTTATTGTAGTACATGTGTTTACTTGGAAAAGGACTCAACTTTACCTCTCCAAGGCCCACATTTTCCAATCGACGATTATATAGATCCTTACAACAATATCTAGACAAATACGATATTATGAATAGGCGTTACCTGACATGATATTACAAATGCAACAACTACCTCTAACATTAGGATTTTAAAATATAAGGAAACTAATCTAAGGATTCTTAGCATCGCCAGCACCACAAGAGGCAGCATCATCAACGTTATCGGAGGCACTAGTTTAGCCCCCTTTTTTTTTGTCAACTGTTGTACCTCTCACGGCGTCGATGGAGATGAAGGTTACTCGACTTTCACCCTATTTTTTGGCGTCGAATGTCGTACCTCTCATGGCGCCCATGGTTGGGGTCGATTGTGTGTCCCCCAACTTGGGCCACACACAAGGTTGGTATTTCACTTCCTAGGCTAGGCATGCCTCATCCTTACTATCGATGACACTCAAACACATGACCTCCCTTGCACAAGACCCCCACGGGTAGTGGCAGAGCCAGAAATTTAAGTGAGAGGGAGCACATTTAAAAATTAAAAACTCTTTTAACTTTCTCTATTGTTACTTTTTGTATAAATAATCTAACATTTATTCATAATATCAAAATATATGCAACTCAAAAGAAATTTAGACATGACAATAAAAGAGAAAACAAAGGAAAATAGGGGAATTTAAGAATTTAAGAGGAATTTCATAATATTTGTATAATATTACTATAACTAAATATCCATACAACATTTTAAAAAAAAATTAAAAGAAAAGAGTTCGAATTTTTAAATGTGCCTCCTCCCACTTAACTTCTTAGCTCCACCACTGTTGGAGAGAGGGTGTTGCGACCGAGAAAGAACGACACAAATATTTTTCCGAAAAAAGAAATTTAATTTAGTACTTGTGAGTACAGAAGAAAAATCGTAGCAGTAAAGACTGTCATCAACCATATTCTGTTGATTGGGTATGTTGCACAGTTGCACTAATCAGTCAAACGCAGCTCATTAAGGATATAATTGTCAATTCGCATCCAAATTAAGAGGGTAGAATCGGCAATAGAAAGGTATGAAAACCCTAGACTCTCTTCATTGCCTTTCAGAAACCAGTGGGTCTTAAAGTCCGAACGCCGTTGCTTGTTCGTTGGTGGGCGAGCTTTCAGAGTTGGTGCATTGGCTTTGGATAAAGGTCAAGCAGAAATGGAGGGGCCTATTTTCAGGGACATAAGGCGATATTACTGCGAGTATTGTGGAATATGCAGGTCCAAAAAGTCTCTGATTGCTTCTCACATCCTCTCCCACCACAAGGTACTAATTTTTTCTTAATTTTAATGTTGTATGGTCGATTTATGATTTTTTCTGAATTGGGTCTTTGATTTTGAGTGGTATGCTGTTGCGGGTTTATTTGGTTTTGTCTTAGAAACGAAATTTGGAACTTGGGCTGCTTTTAGATTGATTGTTGTAATTTTTATTTATTTTATTTATATATTTTTGGGTGTAGGATGAGATGGAAATGTCTAATGTTGATGAAGATCGGGAAGTTGACCGGGAAAAATCTAATACTTGCCAAGAGTGTGGTGTCACTTTCAGAAAACCTGCACATCTCAAGCAGCATATGCAAAGTCACTCACTTGAGGTATTGTTTATCGTCCATATTCAAAACAAGCTGAGGCCTTTGAACAAGAAAAAAAAGGACTGATAAATTGTCTTCTCGCCTGAGATTTATTGAACTAAGCTTACAGTGTTTTGCTTTTATATGGCTTGGACGAGTTGATTCTTCTTGCTGCTTTTAATTTTGAATTGCTGCCTTTTATTAACTGAGTATAACTCTTCAATGTACTAAAATTGATCTGGCTGCAAGGGAATATTTTATGGAATTGTATGTTATTCTCCCATGAGTTGGCAGTAAAACCAGCAGTGGCTTCTCAAGGAGTAATTGAATGATGTTACAAGTGAGATATAATAGACTTTGATGATGTCAGAGCTTATTAGTTTCACAATTTTGGAATATGCATATATGTACTAGATGAAGTTTTGTAACGTTTGCATCAATTGAATCTATTGAATATATAAGTTTTGCAGGAATCAACATATATGAAATATATACGATGGATAGCGTGAAGCATTGGATCCCACACAAAGAACTCCAAAATGCGAGATGGTTCTGACTTGAATGGACTAGTACCAGGTGGGAGACCTCCTGTGAAGCTCCATCAAGTGAACCTCAATCACGCACTGTTTGGTTTGAGGTTTAAGTGACTGTTCAATTGTATTTTTTTTCTTAATATTTATTTGTTCATCAATTTATGTAGCTTATTCTTTGCAGAGGCCATACATATGTTCAGTGGATGATTGTCATTCCAGCTACAGAAGAAAGGACCACTTGCATCGCCATCTCCTTCAGCACCAAGGGAAACTCTTTAAGTGTCCAATTGAGAACTGCAATCGTGAATTTGGTTTCCAAGGTAACATGACGAGGCATGTCAATGAACTTCACAGTGAGGATTCCCCCTCAACTAGTGGTGGGGCTCAGAAGCAGCATGTGTGCAAGGAAATTGGTTGCGGAAAGGTGTTTAGATTTGCTTCGAGGCTGCGGAAGCATGAGGATTCCCATGGTAGCTTTTGTTTTTGAATTCTATTTTTCTTTTTAACTTTTATATTATGTTGTCACAATGCAATGAAAAATGCAGATTGACATATAGATGACACATATTTTCCCCTAACGATGAGAAATATGGTGGTATAATTCTTGGCAATATGATTTTTTGCAACCTTTGATGATACCCTTTACTTCTGCAGTTAAGCTAGACACAGTGGAGGCATTTTGCTCTGAACCAGGTTGTATGAAATACTTTACGAATGAACAATGCCTTCGGGCCCATATCCATTCCTGCCACCAACATACTACCTGTGAGATATGCGGGACCAAGCAACTGAGAAACAACATCAAAAGGCATCTTCTCACACATGAAGATAAACATTCAATAGAGATGATTAAATGCGATTATAAGGGTTGTCTTCGTGCATTTACAACTGTAAGTTGCTGACCTAAAAACAATAGTTGACCCACATTATTAATTATTTTGGGATGTAAAAATTGTTTAGAACTCTGTGTTAACATTTGGTTTTACACATGCAGAAGTCCAATCTCGCTAAACATGTGAAAGCTGTACACCTAGAACATAAACCTTTTGTCTGTAGCTTTTCGGGTTGTGGCTTGAGGTTTGCATACAAGCATGTGAGAGATAACCATGAGAAAACTGGATGTCATGTCTATACTCAGGTGACTTTTTGGTCTTGGATAATTCAATACCCCTGCATGTTGGATGTTTGCATATTCTTTTTGGATAAGCATCTTTTCAGCCAATGTCAAAATATGAACTCATATGGGGGAAATCAATGGCTTTGAATTTCAGGGGGACTTTGAAGAGGCTGATGAGCAATTCCGGTCACGTCCAAGGGGTGGGCGTAAAAGGGAGTGCCCCGACATACCAATGCTGGTTCGGAAAAGGGTGACTCCACCAAATCAATTGGGCCAAGAGTGCGAGTACATCTCCTGGTTACACTCACAAGAGGACAACGACGAGCAGTGAATGTGAATTCGAATATTGATATATATATAGGTAGTAGGCTAGTAGCTTGGACATTATTCCACCACTTCTATTGCTGCTTGTGAATGTGAATACGAATACGAATACTGATATATATAGTAGTAGCTTTTGATAGCTTTTAAATCCGTCACAATTCTGGCTATAATTCTTCATGTAGTGCATTGCATGCTCTTGTTTCTTGCTACTCTCAGTAGTTATTTTGAAAAGTGGTTTCTATTGCTGGGTTTATTTTTTATTTTTTGACTAGGTAAATATTCTAAACTACTCAAAATATTGGGACGGGATTTGAGTTCGGGCGATCGGCATTCTGTCCTAACCAATGGAATTAAACGAAATTCTGAACTATAAACTAGGGATGGGAATTGAATTCGGATACAAGGTGGCCATTGCTCCAGCAAACTGACTCTTTCCACATTGCTCCAGCAAACTGACTCTTTCCACATTTGCATATTACTTTGTTTGAGTTTACTTCTTACACTTACAAGAAAATAAGGAATTCTTGTTTTTGTTTTTTGGTAGTATTTAAATTCCCTTGTTTGGCTTGGAAACCCTTAATATTTTGAATCTACCCCTTTAATTTTCTCCCCTAAATATTTTACTTTTACCCTCCATGAATTAAAAAAATGAAATACCACATAAGGCCCCAATCCTCAGTTGACGCTTTTCCAGCCTCTCTTTTATGCAGATGCCACCGCTGGCGAGGGGTTGTAGGCGGCTTTGATGCAAACATCAAAGATTGACCGAGTAATTTTGTTAATGATTAGGTCAAGTGTGTTTCTTTTGTAGAACTTTCAATGAATGCTACCTTTATTTCCTTCATTTCCTAGCCTGTCCAATCGGGTTAAAAAGTTGGATTGAATACCTCCAAAATAATTTTTATATTTCCTAGAATAAGATTTGAAGTTGGAATTTACTTATACAAAAAGATAACAAACAAAAATAGTGAAACAAGCCACACTTGATCGTTGCAGACGTAAATTAGGTCAGTTAATCAAAATATCGAGTCTGATATCCTACACTTTTAGATTATTTTAAAATAATTTAGGCTAAGCAAACGACCCACTAACTAGATTAATTTGCGCATGCCCGATCATTACTATTTGTTTCTTCATTTTTACCTTTTTTGGGGGACCCAAATATGTTTTTGAACAACTAACGAAACATTAGCCATTAGCCTGCTGCCTGCGACAGTGTTGCGACCTGGTCCCGTCAGAGATGGTGTCAACGATATCTTCTTCTTCAGCTCCATCAAGTTGTTCGCTTCTCTCCTCCGAGTTCTTTCCAACTCGGTCGACTCAGCCATTCAAAGCCGCTTCGCTTTCATGGGTTTCTTCTTTTCCTCTGGTAAACATATCCATAAGCTCCATTGCAGACCCTCCCACTCCCACTCTCAACAAGGTAATTAATACACTCACTTTCCCAATCTCCCAAACCACCCTTTTGACAATTCTGAGAAAAAATGTGTTATCTTTCAAATTCCTTATCTTAGAAAAATATGAAGATAACTGTGAATTCTTAATCTTTGAAGCTTAATTGAAGAGGTTGCAGTATCACTGAAATGGGATTTTACTGAAATTGTGTGTTGGAGAAGATATTAACACTAGATACAGTCAATTATTTTGGAAACCAGAGCTCTATGAATCTGCCATTAGTGTGCTGGTTTGAATGAATGAGCTTTGTGGGTTATCTGTATTTAATCTTGATTTCTAAATAAGACGTGGTATTGGGAATTCAAGTCATGTGATGAGTATGGCTTTCTCAGGGTAGCTAAACACTTCATTTTAGGTCACTTAGGCTAAGAAGGAATCACTCTCACAAAAGGGTGAAACTTGAAATTGTGGTTGTATAAGTACTCTTGGGATGCTCAGTATGGAAATTATTGTAGATGTTGCATCCTATTTGCTTTCTTGTGAAGAAGCATTTTCTTGGTCTATTGTGGACTTGTAGTATAAGCTATTGTCTAAATTTGATAAACTCAATTAACACTCTGTTACCAAAAATCCTCAATCCAGTGAAACCTCTTTGAGGAGGGTCTCTTAGCCAATAGCAGGACCAGGCATTCTTGTTTGGACAGAGGGACATGTTTGGCATGTCCTATAGCAAATCGCAGGAAGTCCAAAGAGGCTACTTTACCCTCTCTTGACGCCGTGAACATTCTACAACGTAACTGTTTATAAACTGGGGACAAAACCTTTTGATGGTAGTTGTTGTATATGTTTTACATGTGCCAAGTCCTTTCTTACTAGTATATGTAGTTTCTGTTGTTTTTGGGGATATGGGATGAGGTGAATTGGTGGCCCCAAAAAATGTAAATAAGTGTGGTTTCAGCTTCATACTGTTATGTCATATTGTCCCCTTAAGAACTCTTTGAGGTTCCTAGAAATATGCATTGCATAAAATGAATAACTAGAAATCCTTTTAAAATGTTGAGCTGACACCTGCTAGGCACCTATTTTTGCCTTTGTAATTACAATATATTTTACTTGTAATTTTAGAATTCTGTTGTTCGAGCTGCATGGACCCGGAGATCTCGAGGAGAAGCTGCAAAGAAGCCTAACAGGAAATCGTGGAAACAGAAGACTGATATGTATATGAGGCCATTCTTACTGAATGTTTTCTTTTCAAAAAAGTTTATCCATGCAAAAGTGATGCATCGAGGAACAAGCAAAGTGATATCCGTCGCTACCACGAACGCCAAGGATGTTCGAAGCAACTTACCCTCACTCACAGATCACAACGCGTGCAGAGTTATAGGGAGGCTTATTGCTGAGCGATCAAAGGAAGCTGATGTTTATGCATTGTCTTATGAGCCCAGGAAAGATGAACGGATTGAAGGTAAGCTTGGGATTGTTCTTGATACCATTAAAGAAAACGGGATCATATTTGTTTGAACTAATTAGTGAACTCTTGTAGCCATGTTTGCTGCAACTGAAATTAAAATGTAGAATGTTTGTCATTGTTTCACCACCAAATGAATGTCTCACAAATTGGTTGGTTTGAAGACCTCTCTCTACTTAGTTCCATGCATGCTTGCTTCACCACCACAGCTAGTGTACCTATCTCATCAAACAACCTATATAAATTTTGTCACATCTGGGGGACGAATCTGATCAAGGTTGATTGCTAGACTTTTGACAATTGGGACTGTTGAACTGATCTTTGTGGTAAAGTTTCTTTGCTTAAATCGAATAAGCCTTTGAATTCATTTTTCCACTTATGGAAGATTAGGTCCAACCGACCGAATCAGCTCCTGTAGCACAGTGTTGTAAACGGTAAGGATTGGTTGCATTGCATATACACACCTTAAGAAAATTCATGGGAAAAAAAAACACAAGTATCATAATAAGTTTTTTATATAATTATAATAAGTGTTTCAAGCATGATAAGGTATTCCAGTACTTGGTTTGAACTTTGATTGACTATAATAATAATCAGTATCCAGTAATTTATTTGAGGGTACTACTTGCCTCCCTACCGGTAAGGAGATGCTCATACTTCTTGCGAATCACAGTTTGACGCATGTCGCACTCCTATTGGTAGGAATGTAGGAACTCCTACTTATCTGGTAAGGAGGGAAGTATTTTCCTTCATTTGAACGGGTGAACACAAGTATCTAGAATTTTTCTAACTTTTATTGGAATTTTGGGGGAGCATAAGGGGCTTATGTTTCTCTTTCACGAGTTGTCCCTGAATATTTGACAAGTCCTCAAAGTTTTAAATCAATCAATTGGTCCTTGATAATTTTTTGGTCCACACATCGATTTGGCCCCTCTCATCTTATTCCGTCAAAATCTTTGTTAAAATTGGTAATCTAGCTACTTTAAAGAGAGAATTCATAAAAATACAACCTATCAACACGAAACAAAGTAAAGCTAACGTGTTTTGCTCAACAAGGCTCGCCTTGATGGGCCCCCATTGTGAAACTGTAATTGAAAAGAATATGACCTTATTGAGCACAAACATGAATTTTAGGACTAAAATGAGCTATATTTAAACGATAATACCCCTTTAAAGTTGGTTACACGACACACGTGACTAGTTTGACCCTCACAAACGGCATATATTATTAATAGTTTTAATCATCACTCATGCTCTTTGTTTTACTCACATGATCCTTTTAATTATTCCAACCCATAGAAAGAAAAAAGCTTAGTTATTGTTTCACTTCTTGAAACTCGAGCTCGCTCTCACTTAACCATCCGGAACTCAAATTTCCTCACTTCACTCCCTTTTAAAAAGGTCTTCGCATGTCCTCTTCGCATGTCCTCGTTGTTAAGTACTTAAATCAACAGGACTGTAATATCAATTCGATTTGTTTGTTTTTTTTGTTAGACCGTGAGAGCTTGAATGACCATCGACTAATTTTCTCCATGTTGAGCGATTTGTTTCAATTTGTCCTTATCTGAAAGTCCCCCAAACCAAAATTAATAATTCCTTTGGGCCAAAATCCAAATTATTTGGTACTATCAACGGCCCAGGGAAAGGTATAAAAGGAGAACCTAACAAGACTACTCATCACTCACTGCAACACAGAGAGAGCGCGGGGGTTTTGCTCACCTACAACCACTTGACAAATCAAAATCCTGCAGAAAGTAGCCCGATTTCTTGAAGGTAAGGTCAAATTTTTCTAGCCCCTCAGTCTCTTTCAACCCTAACGTCTGCTAATTTAGTGTAGTTTTGTGTGCCCAAGTAGAATCAAATTTTAACGTTAAAAGAGTATAATCCTGTTCTATTGCTTATTATTGTGGCTTTGTTTTTCCTGTTTCGTGATTTTCGAATGCGTGATTTGTGTTTAGTGTAAATCTGCCCCTGCTTTCAACAATCCTTGAGATCCTTGATATGGACCACAGGCGTAAGATGTTGGCAACTGCAAGCTCTCAAGCTCAAGGTCCTGAGTTCATTGTTGATAGATTCAGTGATCTTCCAGTTGAAGTTGCTCATCACATTCTTTCCTTCCTCCCCATCAAAGACATCGGACAGGTGGGCTGTGTGTCCAAAAGATGTCTAGAGCTTTATCTTTCATATCCGTCATTGATTTTTAATCTAAGTCACCACCAAAGAAATAACATGTGGAGACGATTGGAAGCGTTTAACCATTTTGATAAATTCTTGGCTAATCGTGATAGTAATGAGATAGAGTGCTTTCGTATATCTTGGGACTACCATTCAGTCAAATTTGCAAGAGAATTTAATGAGTTGCTCAGAATAACCACATGGATCCGTCATGCGGCAAGGTGTAATGTCCAAGTGTTAGATCTTGACTTCGATACGCGGTGTAGAGTACCATTAGAGTTATTGCCGTCTTCCATCTCTGCTTGTAAATCTTTGAGAACTTTAGTGATAAATTTTAACTGGAACATTCTTAAATGGCCCTCTTCCAATTTTTTGACTAATCTCCAATGTTTGAAGTTGAAAAGGGTTCAAATAGAAGGTTTAGAGCTTTTTGACAAATGGATCCCATGCTGTAAATTCCTTAAGGAATTACAGCTCGTATATGTTTCCGGTATAAAACGTATGACCGTTATAAGCTCTTCTTTGGAATCATTTAGTTTTGTGCTTTATGATCGAAATCCACTCTGTTATCTTGGCATATCCGGTGAGAAACTTGAAGATATACATATACAGTGGCAATGTGCTTCACTTAGCGGAAAATCATTAAATATTTTTGCTCCAAATCTGAAGTATTTGAAATGGGGTGGGAATTTGATGGATCACCAGAATCTGGGGAATTTAATGTGTTTAGAAAAAGCTGAGATTTATCTGTATCCGAAGGTTGATGAGTCTGATAAAGTATTTGAGGTTCTTTGCAGCATAGGGAGGAGTAAAGTTCTTATTCTAAATGAAGAGACCATGAAGGTAAAGCGTGACTACCATCCTTCATACAGTGATCTTCTTTAAACAAGACGTTATGTATGCAGAGCTTATTATATTAACTTTCCACCCTTTATCAGTGATAATACACTATACTAGTATCACCATGAAGGAAAATGAATACTTTTTTCATATAAACAGAAGTAAATTCATAATTATTCTGAAGTTTTTTTTATATAATCCATGTATGCAATTTATCAGTCTTTAATGATACTAAATTGAAAATATGTACTAGTTTTTATTTTTTTTTAATAAAAGGAAAATATGTACTAGTTATGAATTACTGATGTCCACAAAACAAAGTTGTTTGTTAACAAAAAATGCAACAGATTTGGCAAATGATCATTCATTGCATTTATCTAGACTTCAGGAAATATATTGGATTTAGTTATACTTTGTTACTATTTTTTTTTGGATAAGGGATAACTTTGTTTCTGTTTTGATTCTTGCGCTTTAGGGCACTTATCTTGTCCTAGTTGAGGTTCAGCCTTTATAACATTGCAAAACATTGCAGGCTCTGTGCAGGAAAAGTCCCATGCCAACATTAGATGGTATTTCATACTTGGGTTTGCGTACTAGCAGCTTGAGTGACGAGCTATTCCCCAAAATGGTCTCTCTTCTTAATGGAATGACTACTTTGCGTAAATTGTGCATAACTTCTAATCCATCCTTCATAAGATGGCGGCCATTAGATGCTCCTGATAATGTAAGTAATAGTATTGTATGTTGGCCCTTGCTTCTCACATGCACACAGACATTTCTTGAATGAGATGCATTTGATCTTGGTCGAATAATCAAGTATTTTTCCTTTCCTTATGTTTTTATGAATATGTTTCTAACAAAATTCAATTGATTTGCTTGCTGCCTTTCCAGTCATCCAGGTATAATACGAGCTGCTGTGGATCCCATAACCTTGCTTGTATGCATGAGCTTCAAGAGGTAATAATAGAGCTTTCAAATGGTACTAATGAATGGAAGTTAGCAAAGTATATACTGGAGCATATTCGGAGTTTGAAGAAAATGGTAATTCTTTATTCATCCAAGCAAGAAGAAGATGTAGTACTGAGAAAAAAACCCGAGATGATCTCCGCTGCAACAGTTGTCTTTCAGAAAAAGTAGAGCAGTTGACCAAGAACAAAAAGTGGGGAGAAAGGAGCAGGTATAATATTTTTCAGAGGGATTTGTTTTTGCTATAACATTGTAAACTTAGTCTTGATGTTGATTGGTGGTGAAGTATGATATTTCTTTTGGACAAGACACCCCTAAACTTGATATGTTTTAATTTGGAGTATGGTTTTTGAATGGCGTACTGCTCTGTTATTATTTTGTTTGGAATAACGTTCCAGATTCATTAAGTGTAAACTATTGAATCACTCATAATTTAATGGGGTTTTGGAGATTTTGGTTTAGATGACACTGTAAGTGTACTCTCAGAGTTCTTCTCTCCCCTTGTCGATGGTGACAAGGCGAAGCTAAAAGCAACACTACATCAGTGTTGGGTTCCTCATCAGGAAACATCCTATTAGTTTTAATCATAATGTTACTATGTGTCTTGTTATCGGTGCTATGTTCTATGAAATGGGTATACATAAGTAAAATGTATGGTAAACCATGTAAAACATAATTACAATATACCAATTTTCTATAAGAATAGATTAATGTGCACTTTTCTTGAATAATAATGTGTACTTGTATCAGTTCCTATAGCCATAAGCTATGTTTCTAAGCTATTTATCAAGCTATCTAGTAATATGGCTCTTTGAAGAAGATCACAAATATGATACAACAAATAGCAAAAATGATAATGAAAACATCAATGGTGAGAGCAGTCATTGCTTGATCGCCCAGCGCCATGTTCCTTCCACCTAGACGATCAACCATATCCGGCACAGGTTTGTACTTCTCTACTTCTTTCACATAAGGATCCTCCAACTTCATTCTCATTATTTCTGCTTGGCGGCTTGCAGCCTCTTGAGCAAGTGTCCAGTTGTAAAATCTACGGGTCTCTTCGTTGCTCAACACATTATAAATTTCTCTTAGCCTCACGAATTTGTCAGACGCAGTCTTTAGGGGAAGAGAAGTGGTGTCTGGATGGTACTCTTTGGATAGTCTTCGGTAAGCAGCTTTGATTTCTTCTAGATCAGCCTCTGCTGATACTCCTAAGAACCTGACCAAAATTGATGCCATTTACAATTTACAATGAGTAAGAGTACTATACACATCTAGTGGTTGTACTTCATGCATGTGACTTAATTACACACATAATAATAATGCATAATTCAGGTTTAATATCCTGCTTTTATGATTTACACTTCACCTATATCTGCCCTGTCTAGTAGTAATTACTTTCTTAGCACAACACGTTAACCCCAAATGAAATTTTAATGAATCGAATATCTCCGAAATCTTGAAGAATTGCCTCAAATCTCCCTCTGAAATTCGGTATTTGAAGGATATGGGAAGAGTTGAGAGTGAATGAGTTCAAAACAAAGGCACAGATATAATGAATCACTCATGAAATTGCAATATTGTATCTCTTCAAAGCTGGGTTTTATTTAATTATTTATCAAGTTGAAACATATAATTGCCAAGTTAAATACAGGGAAAAAAAAAATCAATGTTTAAAATAATAAAAATACTTATTCAACTTGAAAGACTCACTGGTAATGAGAATCAGAAATTGAGTCATTCAGCAAATCAGCAAACTTGTCTTCCAAGTGATTGCTCTGCTGCTCTTGCTCTGCTTGTGCCTGCTGTGCTTTGCTGCTGCTACTTGCATTGCTTCCTCCAATCCAACCTTCATCCTCATTCTCCCAATGGATTCTTGTATCAACTCCTGGTGGGGCCCTCTCAGGCTTGCTTGGCCCTTGTGATGCTGACACTTGTAATCTGACATGGGTTGTTGCTTTTCTAGTTGTTGCTCTTCTTGCTCCTCTTCTTGTTGCTGCTGTTGTTGTTGGGCTCCCAAGTAAGAAAGCGTGTGAAGCCTGAGGAGCGGCTGTGAAAGCCATGGAAAAGGGAGGCTAAGAAGGTGCTCTGTGGTTTTTTACAATTTTTTTTGGGTCATATTGTTGCTGAGGGGATTGTTTTTCATGGCCTCGTTTATGTGGTTCAGAATAAAAATCAAAGAAGGTTCATATATTAATGAATTTTATTTATTTATTTTGTGACAACATGACTTGTCCTCTCCTACAACAAGAGGTATGCTATTATGTGGTCCACATTGAAGAGGATTAAGCAGCTCGATATATCTACAAATTAACTTTTGTTTAAAATTATAACAATAGCTTAGTCGAAACCGCAATAAACTTGAAAAGCATTTAGTCATCTAACCATAATGATTTTCACAAGAATTTTTCTTTTAAGGCACTTTAAGTTATCGTGATAATATGAGAGATCTAGTTTGAGTATTTTTTCTTTTTTTTTCTTTTTGATAACTGAAGTCTCTATAGTCTTTATCTTGAAACCGTTGTCACAAGAATTTATCTCGGACTATATTCTTTGAATTTGATTTTTCACTTTTGTCTTTGCGGTTTCAATTATAGTAATTGGACTTTCAATTAGATATTCTCGCAAAAGAACATGTTTAGATTTATGTCCAATTATGTGTGGAAGTAAGTACGTATAGAGAGGTATTTTAGAAGAAATTATAAGTAATCTAACATAATTTGTTAGGTGTCGTTTACGAGGGATTTAAAATAAATTACAAAAACAAAATTAGGGTAAATTACTTAAATGGTCTTCAAATTTGTATCCAATTTACATTTTGTAAACTAAACTAAATTATTCGTTCAAATGGTCCACCAACTCTTTATTAATCGGCGCTTTGGTCCTATCGTTACATTTTCTATTAAATTTAGGCCTAGTTTGGGATTGCTGTCACTTTTAAAAAAAGTTACTTATGCTGTGCTTTGAAAATAATTAGCTGTAAAGTAAAGTAGGTCCATATTTGGTAAACAATATTTTTAAAGTGCTGTTAGTACAAAAAGCAGTGTCAAAACCATTTAGTAAATTTTAATATAAAATTATTGTAATTATGAATAATGACTAAAATAGACATGATGTTAAAAGGGTTATGTACTAATCATGTGGTGATAATGGTAGTGATGGAGTGGAGGAGGTGGTGGTGATGTAGGTGGAGTTGGTGGTTGTGGTAGTGGTGGTGGTGGGGATGGCGATTGTGGAGGTTGTGGTAGTGGCAGCATGGTGGTGGTTGTGGTGTTGGTTGTGGAGGTGGTGGTGGATGTGGAGGTTTTGGAGGAGGAGGTGGTTGTGGTGGTTGTGGTTGTAGTGCTGGTGGTGGTGGTGGAGGTGGTGGTTGTGGTGGTGGTGGCGGAGAATGAGAAGGAGAAGGATGTGGTGGTTGTGGAGGTAGTGAATGTGGTGGTGCAAGTGGTGGAGTTGGATATGGAAGTAGAGGTGGTGTCATTTTTAAAAATGAATGATGATATTTTGGGAATTAAAAAAATTTATTAAAGGTTCATCTCTACTTCTTTTGAAAAGCAACCCAGAGCTTGCTTTTAAAAGCTGCTGTCAAAAGGCCATTGTTTTAAAATAATCGGGATATTTTATTTTTACCAAACACCTTAAACTGCTTAACTTTAAAATGAAGCAGGTTTTTGGCCAAAAAAAGCAATCCCAAACGGGGCCTTAGTCATGTGAGCAACACATACATTTGTGGGGCCAAATAAGACTTTTGACTTATATATCACCCCTTTATCACTACTGTATTACCTATGTATCACCACTTTATCACCATTTTATCACCTATTTGGGAAACATATGACATTTATGGACGATTTTACCTTTACATTTGACGGCAACATTAACATAATGTAATGGTAGGATCAATGGAGTGATAAATATAGAATTGATAGACCATTTGAATGAATAATTTAATTGAAGGACCAAAATATAAATTGGGTATAAGTTTGAAGATCATTTAAGTAATTTAACCAACAAAATTATAAAGGAGATAATCAACAGGAATCAAAAATGATTTTTTGCCAAAAAAAAAAAGGGGATATTTAAGGAGGGTAGAACAGCCAATTCCCCTAAACTAAACCCAAAAAAGAGAGCGAAAGGCCCCAAAGTGGAAGCTTTCTCCTTCTCTTTTTTCCGATTTTTCTGGTGTTAGTTTCCCGCCAAACTGTAAGTGAAGTCGACCACTTTCTGAGATTTCTGTGCGTTTCTCGCACAACATAGAGATGGGTTCGAAGAGTAAGAGGTCCAAAGAGCGCTGCAGCCCTGCAATGGAAGAAACGCCAACTCCCAGTCACATTCCCCCTCTCACCTTCCAAACCCTAATCTCTGCAATTCAAGCCCCTGAGGTACTCCATCTTACTTTGCATTGTCGTTTCCTACTCTTCTTTGGAGTTTTACGGCTCACTTCTCACAAGTTCTTAAGCGTTTTGTTTGGGTAGAGTGCCCAGAGTAATGGGTTGTAGGTTTAGAGACCGAATGTGAGAGAATTGAAAAAACAATTGGGAAATTAATCTAACAAGTTTGTTCCTTTTTGGTCGAAACAAGCGGCTTTGTGTTGCTTTGTTGTTGAAACTTCTTGGATATGTGCTGCTTTTGTACGGATATGAACTTATATTTACATAGATAAATGCATCAATTCATTCTTAATGTGTTAAATTTCAGGGTCCAAAGCTGCCGCTTTTGAAAAGATTGTACTTCCTACTAGTTACACTGTCTTTAAACGAACCAATGCGTTGTTCTAATTTTGAAGGCGCTTTCGATCATTGTGGGGTTGAAGGGAAACTTGAGGATATACATAACTTGATTAATGTTTTGTTTGAAGAGCTTGATAGGAGGTTTAAACTCTTCTTCTCCGCTTTATGTGATGTTTTTGCAAGTAGAGGTCAGGAGCACATAGAATCCGGCACAGATATGTTTGCCACTGCTGATGAACTACCTCTGCTTCTAAGATGTTGTATGTTAGTCTTGGCCTTGGCTAACCCTACTATGCTAGTAGAGAAAACCCAATTTCTTCTTTCTGTACTAGGGAGCTTGATTTACTTGGTTACAAATGGAGGAGAGGACAAAAACTCTGTCAGGTTTCAGAAGTTTGTTTCTTCTAAATTCACGTACACTGATGTTGGTGGTTCTTCTACCACTGTTTCCGAAGAGTTTGTTGCCTCTTTATGTTTCACAGAGCCTTCAGATCCGTGGTGTCCGACTCTATGTGCAGTGCTTGAGGTAAACATTCAAAAAATAGAAGGAGAAGGATGTGGTGGTTGTGGAGGTAGTGAATGTGGTGGTGCAAGTGGTGGGGTTGGATGTGGAAGTAGAGGTGGTGTCATTTATAAAAATGAATGATGATATTTTGGGAATTAAAAAAATTTATTAAAGGTTCATCTCTGCTTATTTTGAAAGCAGCTTTGAAAAGCAACCCAGAGATTGCTTTTAAAAGCTGTTGTCAAAAGGCCATTGTTTTAAAATAATCGGGATATTTTATTTTTACCAAACACCTTAAACTGCTTAACTTTAAAGTGAAGCAAGTTTTTGGCCAAAAAAAGCAATCTCAAACGGGGCCTTAGTCATGTGAGCAACACATACATTTGTGGGGCCAAATAAGACTTTTGACTTATATATCACCCCTTTATCACTACTGTATTACCTATGTATCACCACTTTATCACCATTTTATCACCTATTTGGGGAACATATGACATTTATGGACGATTTTACCTTTACATTTGACGGCAACATTAACATAATGTAACGGTAGGATCAATGGAGTGATAAATATAGAATTGATAGACCATTTGAATGAATAATTTAATTGAAGGACCAAAATATAAATTGGGTATAAGTTCGAAGATCATTTAAGTAATTTAACCAACAAAATTATAAAGGAGATAAACAACAGGAATCAAAAATGATTTTTTGCCACAAAAAAAAAAAGGGGGATATTTAAGGAGGGTAGAACAGCCAATTCCCCTAAACTAAACCCGAAAAAGAGAGCGAAAGGCCCCAAAGTGGAAGCTTTCTCCTTCTCTTTTTTCCGATTTTTCTGGTGTTAGTTTCCCGCCAAACTGTAAGTGAAGTCGACCACTTTCTGAGATTTCTGTGCGTTTCTCGCACAACATAGAGATGGGTTCGAAGAGTAAGAGGTCCAAAGAGCGCTGCAGCCCTGCAATGGAAGAAACGCCAACTCCCAGTCACATTCCCCCTCTCACCTTCCAAACCCTAATCTCTGCAATTCAAGCCCCTGAGGTACTCCATCTTACTTTGCATTGTCGTTTCCTACTCTTCTTTGGAGTTTTACGGCTCACTTCTCACAAGTTCTTAAGCGTTTTGTTTGGATAGAGTGCCCAGAGTAATGGGTTGTAGGTTTAGAGACCGAATGTGAGAGAATTGAAAAAACAATTGGGAAATTAATCTAACAAGTTTGTTCCTTTTTGGTCGAAACAAGCGGCTTTGTGTTGCTTTGTTGTTGAAACTTCTTGGATATGTGCTGCTTTTGTACGGATATGAACTTCTATTTACATAGATAAATGCATCAATTCATTCTTAATGTGTTAAATTTCAGGGTCCAAAGCTGCCGCTTTTGAAAAGATTGTACTTCCTACTAGTTACACTGTCTTTAAACGAACCAATGCGTTGTTCTAATTTTGAAGGCGCTTTCGATCATTGTGGGGTTGAAGGGAAACTTGAGGATATACATAACTTGATTAATGTTTTGTTTGAAGAGCTTGATAGGAGGTTTAAACTCTTCTTCTCCGCTTTATGTGATGTTTTTGCAAGTAGAGGTCAGGAGCACATAGAATCCGGCACAGATATGTTTGCCACTGCTGATGAACTACCTCTGCTTCTAAGATGTTGTATGTTAGTCTTGGCCTTGGCTAACCCTACTATGCTAGTAGAGAAAACCCAATTTCTTCTTTCTGTACTAGGGAGCTTGATTTACTTGGTTACAAATGGAGGAGAGGACAAAAACTCTGTCAGGTTTCAGAAGTTTGTTTCTTCTAAATTCACGTACACTGATGTTGGTGGTTCTTCTACCACTGTTTCCGAAGAGTTTGTTGCCTCTTTATGTTTCACAGAGCCTTCAGATCCGTGGTGTCCGACTCTATGTGCAGTGCTTGAGGTAAACATTCAAAAAATATCAGCCTATGTTTTTCAAGTTTTTTGTTTTTTATTTAATATTTTTGTGCGGTGGAAATGTTAGCTATGCTTTCACCCATACAGTGGTTTACTTGCTCATAAAATTAGAATTATAAATACGACGTGGTTGAGTTTCCATTTTCATATGACTATGTCGCATACTTACTGGTCTTAAAAGTATACACAGTAACACATTTGAACTTGTTTGTGATAAATGGATTTCTCTGTATCTTGACCTTTCTATTTTGTCTTACTATGTTGACATTGGTTGCTACTAATTAGAAAAGTACAATATACAGTTTATCGTTGATATAATTTACAAGATAAGGATATGAATAAATAGATTCATGCTTTGAGGACATTTTTGCACTGGTCAGCTGTATATATTCCTTTTGCAGTTGGAGAAGAATTCCACTTCAAAGATCCTATTCCCATTAAGTGTTTTGTCAGAATTTCAAGTGTCACTCTCCGATGCAGAACAGTTAAGACATTACAAACTATCAATATCGTGGCATTCCTGGTAGTTGACATGTTCACCTAAAATATGTCAAAACGAAATATGCAAAACAAAAAATATTGAGGAACTAAATCTTTATCGTACGTTTAATGACCTGGTAGGAAAATTCAGGGCTTGCACAGTTGTATAATTTCACTTTGTTATATGAGGTCTGTCCATGTTTCAAACTTCAGTGAAATTGCTTTTCTACCTATTTTCATATTGACATTGACCTCCCAGTTTGCAAATTTTCTTGATAACCTCCAGTTAGTGGTTCATTGTCAAATGGATGTAAACTATTTTTTGGGTGGCATTCTGTTGACATAATATAGTATATTGCTTCATTATTATCCGGATCAAATCTTTTCTTGGCTAGATTTTCTGTTGCGCAATGATCTTATACTTTGTAGTTTCGTCAAATTATAATTTGAACTAAACTTGATCTGTTTCAAATTTTGGTTTCATTCCTCCATCTGAAGTTCTCACGCCATTCTCCAATGTTTAATTACTTTTGTACGAGTTATTGCACCTATACACAACTGAAGTTTGATAGATTGTCTTTAGATATTTGCAGATGAACTTGTAATGCGTAGATTGCTGAGAGAGTACTTTAGTCTTGTTGATTCTACTTCTTCCACAACTGAAATTCTATTTCAGTGCCACTTTGTTAAAGGTGATATTGGAAGTGTTCTGGAGGTGATTTCTGTTCATTTCATCTCGTCAGTTTATGGCAAGCGAGCAAATGAGAACTTCCTTAAAAGATTGTTCTGTGACTTTGGACAGCATTGTAGAGTTCCTGAACTGAGCCTGACTTCTGCAGTGTCATTGCTTCAAAACCCCATCATGCTTTCAGCACCAAAAATGCTGCAGACGCATATGAATTTATTGGTTTCTGAAGCCATTGATGTAGACATGTCTTTGAAGAATGCTAGACCAGATCTTAGACTGATGGAAGGCTACCTAACAGCATTTGAAAGGTCTGTCCATTTGTACACCAGCCACATGTCTGGTTCACTTATGGATTTCCATCCCTTGGGTGTTAAATGTTCTTATGACAGTTCATGCATGCTAGGGAGAAGTTCTCAACCTTCCTTTGAATCTTATATTCAACAAGTCACGAGAGATAAAATTTATGATCTAGTTACCAATTCAGATTCTTTATGGGACTTGTATTTGTGCAATATGTTCCATAGAACAAAATCTGACCTGATGGCTGCTTCTATTGCATACGTAAATGAGAGCCAACATATTTTTGATGAATCATGTAGAGATGATATATTGTCAGTCGTACGTAGCATAATACTTTTAAGTTTTTCTTGTGATGTAAGTGATACAGTGTTGTATAGAAAAGGGGTTACGAGTCCCCAAGATATTTATCTTCTTGCTTCCATATTGAAGTTAATGAGTACTTCCTTGTTGAAAGCTATTTGTTCCCTAAGGCATGGTGGGGATTTGGGTTCTCCAAGATCCTTAAAAGATGTTTCTTCTAAGGAATATGATTTTGTAGTGGATATCATAGGCTGTTTTCACCAGTTCAACATGTCTCTACCAAATCAAAAGTTCTTATTCGACATGATGAAAACCTGCCCGTTGATACATAAGACTTCCAAGTGGATGCTTCTGCATTTTTCAGGCTTGCTGTCCTTGTGTTTTGCTAGTGGGATTGATTTCTTAGTTAAGGGCTGCATATCAACAATCATGGCACTATTACATCTATATGTTTTTGAAGAGAGTGATTTAGTGGCACTCAGCTCATTGCTAGTTTCTGGTTCACAAACTTTTTCATCTGGATTGTCCTCTGACAAGGTTACCGAGGTGAGCTTTGCTTTTCTATATGACTTTTTTGAGTTCAATTCGTATGTTCATGTTTCATTCTTCAAACTTTTGTAAAACACAAAAAGGAAAAAAATGTTTAATTCTTTGAACTGGATGTTATAGATTTGAAACAAGTGACATATGATGCAGGCCGTGGTGAAAAAGAAATCTGTCAGAAGAGTTGCAATGAAATTTCAGAAAATTCAAACACTTCACTTGAGGTACAAAATACTATTGTGTACTGTATCTGCTGTTCATAGTTCTCTTGCCTACCATGCATTTCTTTCTTGGGAGCTTCTCTTGCGGGGTCATATTTGTCTAGCTTTAAGAAGTGCATAAGGTTACTCAGGCCTGATTTGGCAATTTTTGTGTAGTGAAGCTTCCAGATCTGCCTTTTTTTTGTCTTTTTTTTTTGTTTGGAGGTTGCTTCAAGCCATCATCCATATGCAAATTCTTGTTCATCATTTGTTCTCCAAATGCATCAGATGTGTCTCATTTGGCATTGAATCTGTTGAATGCATATAATGATGCCAAAAGAAATTTCTTCTGAGATTGTTATTTAGGACAAAGAGTAGGTTGTTAGAAATTCAAGGAGGTGGCATCTGAGTTGACTCTAAATATGCTTGTTTCTTCTCGTATTAAACCATAAAAATATAAAGAGATTGTAATGTAATTGTGATTAGATTTCAGTAGCGGCTAGTTGTCATTAGAAACTTATACTATCAGTCTTCTCAGTGTTGTGGTTTCTGACATGTACTGAGCCATGATATTGGTAGTCCTTGGAGCGTAAGAAATTTCATGCTGTAGTTCTCCCACAAAAGAAAAATCACTGCACCTAATCATGGAGCGCTCTGGTTCGAGAAAGAAGAAAAGGAGGATTCTATAGTTCTAGCTTGAATAAATAACTTGTTATGATCACTTGAATAAATTCAATTAATCATTCTTGTTTGATGTTGGTTATCTCTTCCTTTGGAACTGGTAGGGCTTGGTTTGTTGAAAGTGAGGATGTCTTTGATATAAGTATTTATTAGAGTCCAATAACAATTGGAAACGGACATTACTCTTACGATGGTACATGCTGCCATCAAAGCTAAATCAGTTTTTCCCCTTGTTATTTTTCAGCAAAGAATCTCAAAGTGAGGTAGCAGAAACTTCAGAAAATGCATGTTTCATGAGGTATACAAGGGAGTCTATGAATGTCATGGAGGAGGAAACAGAGGAGACCTGCAATGGGGAGGTTTTTCTCAATTGCATACTAGGAAGCTCCCAGAAATCTGACATAGATGATTTAGCAGACTTCATTGTGTGCAAACGAGCAAAGGATTATTCTAGCTGGTGGAAGGATCGAGAAAGGTATCGAGGGATGAAAATTCAAAGAAAGAAACAACTAATGTGGGAGAAAAGGAAAACTGCTTGGAAATCTATGGTAGGAAAGAAACATAGGTAGTGTTTTTAGCTGCTGCTAATGCATACTTGATTTAAAAATGCTTCTAGCTAGGTGGCTTAGATAAATTACAATTCTGAGTATAGCAACAGTTTTTGAAGTGTATAAAAGTAATATGACGAATGTGAAAATTGGCTATGGGATGAAGATTCTAGAAGTGTAAATTCGTTTCATCTGAGGCATACTGTTGTTTGATGTTAAATTATTGTCTACAACTTGGGCGCATAACATAAGGTACGAACACCACATTGCAACAATTTCTAAAAGTGTGGGTGCTTAAATGTTAAAATTGAAAACATGGGTACTAACATGTTTTGTTGGTGAAAGGTTAGAGTATTAAATTGAAATTAATCTCATGTTAGTGAAAGGTTAGAGTACTCAATTGAAGTTAACCCTTGAAAATAAAGACTATTTATGCAACAAAGAAGTGAAAAATCGAAGAAAAAATCAATTTATCTTGAATAATTTAAATGATTTTGTAAAAGATTAGAAGAAACATTATTGCTATGGTTCAAAAAGCATTAACGAAATAATTTTTCTTATTTTTGCTACATACACCTCTTACGCTAATCTTTTCAACATTCATTTTCTCTCATTTCCCTATGTTCTTCCATAAGTCGTAAGAAAAAAGGATTCCTTTCCAATTCAAATCATTAAACAACCGAAAAACATACAGAGGGATGGTTGAAATATAAAGAATCTCTTCCGAAAATAGAAGGAATAATGAACAAAAACCATCAGTACAATATAACCATTTTTTTAAAATGTTTCAAGTGAAGTTAGGACCTCTTCCAAGACTCAACATTGGGAGGAGACCGCTAGACCAATAACTAGTTGATTATTAATATTTTTAAAGTATCTTTGAAGTGAAACTTACAAATTCATGAAGGTCACCCAAGTGAACAGAACAAGCATTGTAGTAAACCCCCCTCCTAGTTAGACTCCAATCGACAAACAATTACGTTAATTCCCCGCTTAATTACAAGTCCATGCTAGTAGGTTTGACAAAACCAAAACACGATCTCATTGAGGAAGTTAGATGACTTAAATACATGCATGACTCTAAACAGAGTACAAAGAGTCTATGGATGGAGTACTTTTTCTAACATATATAGAGGACATACATGCATATTCTCATGCACCCCATTTCATCCCAATCCTCCAATAAAGTGCCTGAGATTGTAATCTGAAGAGCCACCCTCCTTGACAGCTTCTGTGGCCAAACCTTTCCATTTTTCACAATTCCTTCTTATCTCTTCCCCTCTCTCTCCATCTCCCATCACAATCTCCAGGCACCTCTTAATCTCTGCACCTCCAATCACTCCCTCTTCATTCTCTTTGGCTCTAACTCCAACTCCCCACACTTCCTCCACTAGTTTTGCATTTGTGTTCTGGTCTGAAAATTGAGCAAAACCCACCATTGGAACCCCAGCTACCAAGCTCTCCACAGTTGAATTCCACCCACAATGCATCACAAAACACCCCACTGACTTGTGCCCTAAAACCTCCATTTGTGAACACCATGGCACCACTAAACCCTGTTCTTTGATTTTCAGTCTGTTCTTTATCTTCATTATCTGAGCTTCTTGATCTCCTCCCTTCTCTGCACAGCGAATTACCCATAAAACTGGGAGGCCACTCTCAATTAGTCCATTCAACATCTCTTCAATCTGATCTCTCTTTAACACCACCATGCTCCCAAATGACACATAAACAACTGAGCAATCTGGTTTTGAGTCCAGCCATTGAAGGTAATCATCCTCAGATTTGTCAAACAAGTCGCAACGAAACCCGGCATCACTGGATTGGTTTTCACTTTCCTCCCAAAACCCAGTTATAACCAAGGGTCCAATTGGAATCACATTCATGCTTGATGATCTGAGAGCTTTGATTGCTGCCTCTTCTAAGGCATCAAAAGTGTTGAGTAGCACAAGACTGGAGTTGGGTTTGCCCTGTTCCAAGACTTGGATGTGTTCTTGAAAGGTAGGGATGACTGAAACATGTGGACTGGTTGGTAGGAGAAAGGAAGGTAGCTCTGTGGGAGCAAAAGGAGGCAACCCTTCTATTGTCATAGAATTTGGAAATGGAGGGCAGTTGTGAAAATGGTTGAAGTAATGGTGGCAAAGCGCAAAGGAGGTGGTGGATTGTATGCAGAGAAAAGCAGATGGTATGCCACAATCACTTGCAACTTCAGCAGCCCAAGGGAGGAGGACAGAGTAGATGAGAAAAGTGACAGGGCCTGAGTGATCTTGAGATGTAGAGATTTTCTCAATCAAGGCTTTGAGTGTTTTTGATCCCACGAGCTTAAATTCAGACATGATGAGATTGGGGTCATTGGTTGGTTTGATTCCATCATCAAAGCCATCTGAGAAAGAAGCATATGACAAGCCTTCAAGAGAAGGGAAGGATTTGATTTGGGTGAGGCCACGGATGGTGGTGGCATAAGTGACATGTGTGCCTCCAATTCCTATGAGGCGCTTGGCAAGTTGGAGAGTAGGGTTTATGTGGCCTTGGGCAGGGCAGGATACGAGAAGGAAGTGATGATGATGATGATGCTTAATGTCCATGACAATTGTTCTCTTGGTTGGCTTAATCTTGATCTGGGATAATGGGATTGAAAATGTTGTTCTAAGTAATGAAGGTCGTGTTAAAGCTTCATGAAGTCAAAAGTCAAAAGTCAACAGTCAACAGTCAAGTCATGAAGTGCCACTAGATCAACGAGTCATGAGCGCCGTTAGATTGATACAAAATATTTCTTTCTGGAAACTTGATAAAGTGAAGGTGTATAAAAATTATGTTAGATCATCGTGATTAAACCGAACGTCAGTTTCCCTTGAACATACAGGAGTTGAGCAACTTCACGATACAATGGCACAAGGAAAGAGCTTTCTGCTTCGGGATGGTGCACTGAAAACGAAACTGAGGATGGTGCATTCGAATTCTATAAACTTCAAGATGCACCATCTGTTTCGTTTTCAGTATTTTCCTAGAATTTGAATGGGCATCAAGCAAAATTCGTGTGTGCAGCACCCATAAATTGAATTTGAAATTTGTTGAACCCTATCATGCAAATTGCATCTATTGAAACCTAATATGTAACATTTCCCACATGCCAGTTCAATTCAATTTTCTAATTCAAGTTTATGACGGTGGGTTACAATCTTACAGAAAGAGAACATCCCATTCTATACAGCAAAAGAAGTATTAGTCTGGCTCAGGGAAACGTCATGGGCGCCTCTATACAATATGCTCAACACTAAGCCAATCTGTTTGGTTGAGAAGCAGTTCAGAATATGGCCAACTGTGCATATGAACAGACCAAGATGAGTTGGGAGAACAAATCAGCTAGCACCTAGCCTTCTTACAACTGTTAAGTACTCTGTGCAGATGGAAAGCTTCACCTTGATCCCCACTCAACAACCTTCTTTCCAAACAGCAAGCAGTGAGTTGCCTGAGTAACCTCTCAAGATACGAATGCAAGCAACTTTGTGAATCTTTCAGGTTTGGATTCGTAGACAAGATCATTGCATTAACTGTGTCTGCCACAACTTCACGCTGCGACTCTTCAAGCAGATATCCAACTGAGGACTCTTGCGGCCGTTCGTATGCCAGCAGAGCAACACAATCCTACAGAGAGAGGTGTAGTAACGATGATGACAAGCTTAAGCTTCAATGAAAAAAATAGAAGCATTCTAGTTCTAATCCACGTCTTGCAAAAGAAGCACCAAAGAAACATGTAGCAACTCAAACCCAATACTACAAGCAGACTAAAAAACATCATCCATATGAAATGTAACTGTTACTACCATCTACAAACCATCACCTAAATTCTGAAGATACCAACAAAAAAAAGGAAGCCCAAAAACTAACTCACATAGTTTTTTAATAATGAATCTCACATATTATCCAAAGACAGATGCATCGATAAAATAAATATTCCGTAGTTCGAAAGAAATTCTGTTATTACCTGAACTAGGTCCTCAAACACCGGCAGGCCAAAGAACTTTGCTAATTCCATTCTTCCATATTTCACAGCCTCCTCAAGTGCACCGACCTACATGAAAATTTTAAGTATAACAAACCATCTGTAAATATCTATTAACTTTGTCATTAACATCACCAAAGTTAGCAATCATATGCTCTATAAATAAACAAAGACATGCATATAATAAGCCAGACCTAAAAGATGTCAATGGGATAAAGTAGGCAGCAGCTTGTTATTCGTGAACACTAAATCTAATGTGCCAGTTTGTTAACAATTGAAATTTTTATTTATCTTACCCACAAAAAAAAAAAAAAAAAAAAAAAAAAAAAAAAAAAAAAAAAGATGTAGATCTATATTGAAATGAAATTAAGCACACTTCAACCCAAGTTCATAATCATCAGTTTATAGTTTCCTTCAACGCTTCAGCACTGAGATGTAACAGGTACGCAAGCCTTTCTTGTATCCATCTAAAATTTCATTCAAATGAATAACTGAAGTGCTTGCCATGACTTTTTGGGAAATATTAAAGTTTTTTTAGCAGCAGCAATACTAAAGCTAATTCTTCTAATAGGGGAAAAACATACCCGGACCAATTCGATAAACTTTTGACAGTGGAGTAGAAAGCAAGTAGCTGATTTATCATCCTGCAGAAGGTAAAACATATGTCAGAACCTAAATAAAATTAAGCATTGATCCTAAGAAGTTTAGGATGATCAACTTTACCAATAACCAAAATTCAAAACCACCACATTAAAACATATGTGAGGACCTTAATACAATTTCTGTTTGAATCCTCTCAAGCACAAACTTTGCAGAATTCACAGCATGTACCAACAAAATCTTGTCAACGTCAAGAACAAAGAAATACAGAAAAACAAAGATGACCACAAAAGAAAACATTCTGAAGCATTAGACAGTCTACCTGAACAATTTGGGGATACCATTCCCGGAGTTTACCAAGTGCAGAGTCGATCTCCCCATTCCTGATAAGCTTTATTAGCAGAGAAAAGTGGTCAGCCAGATACAAATCTTATACTAGAAAAAATTAATATATTTTGGTTATATAGTAACCAATGAAGTGGTACACAAGCAATGGAAAGGACAGACAAAAATATCCATATATCAAATGGTACACAAACTGATTCTATGATATTCCCCAAACTCGTAAGCCATGAGGAGATAGTGTACCATTTGACAGTTGAACACTCCCTAAGCTGTGAACAGATTAACTAAATTACATAAATAAACCAAGACATGAGCAGGTAAACATATCTTCAAATTGAATGACAAAAAACGGATGCATTCATAGGCAAATTTCAAGCGAACTAGACTAAAACATTCACATGTTGCACAAAACTATTGTCAACAGAAATTAGACGTGAAAATGTGAGATAAAATGCATATATCATCCGTATCATTATTATTGGTGTCTTTGTAAATATATCAATAATAAGAAATAAATCTTTTACAACCCAGCAATTTGATGGATCTTGCAGCCATTGCTAAGATCTGATTCTACAGAAAAACTTAATATAGATATCAGCCAAGCAGGCATAAATCTTTGCTCATGTCATCAAGTTCTGTGGTTGAACATCGTACTAAATACTACAGTCTCCAGATTATAGCAGCAACATTTTTTTTTTCTGGTTTCTTGAAACCTTTGAGTCAAAAGCCCAAAAAATATTTATATATATCATCCCAAACAACTGGGATTTGGAAACTTTCATGCAAATATAAGAGGATCCCAAAAAGGAGATGGTTCAAAACACAAAAAGGAAGCAGAAAACTAACTTAACTTTAAAGACAGATTGTAATCACAATAGAATGATACCTGTCTAAGAGTCTTTCTCTCATTTAGTGCAAACACAACGTCCTGCTCATCAAAACCATTTTCTTGAGCTATATGTACAGGAGGAACAGTAGTTTTACTAGCCATGTCAAATGAATTGAGCGTATCTTCATAGCCATAATGAAGTAAGTAGGAGCGAACAATTCTGGTTAACAAAGTATAAATGAATTAACAATTGACACATAAAAGCTTTAATAATAAACAAAATTAAACCCAGGTAAAATTCATATTGATATGTTGCTAGAAATAACAAAATTAAACCTAGGTAAAATTGACATCCTCTCTCTCTCACAAACAAAACTTATCAGGAATTCAACTGGACTATTGATCAAAATTTATTACTTTAAGGAGCCTATTCTAGTTTTGATCCTAGTGGGTCTATTGAAACAAAGAGTTCAAATTCCAAAGCTTGTAAGATTTTTTTTCCTTTTTTCTTGATGGGAAGAGTCTGCTACAATGACAGGAAGGAAAACTTGGGAAGACCCCAACTCACCTGCCTGCCCCCCGTTTTCCCTCTTTTGTTTCAAATTTTCAAGGCTATTAATGCAATTTTTATGCATCTCAACAACCCCCAAACATAGCCAGTTCCTACCTCTAACACCCTGAATTTGTCAAAATTCCTACTTGAACCCTGGTTGACAATTCAGTGTCAATATTCATGTGAGTACATAATTCGGACAAGGTTATATAATTTACTAACAAAACTCCAGATTTAAAGAACATTCAAAATTCAAGAAGGAGAGTGATGACCTAACTGAAAATATATTGAAAAGATTTGGTTGCGTTAATCCAACTACAACTATCACTGAACTGCATCTAATTCCTCAACCTATAAATTCCTATAACCAGATTAACAAGTTATATAAAAGGTAACCACAGAAACACAAACTTTAATTACTAAAACCAATCACAGAGTGTCTGTTTAACCATCAACATCAGATCATTTCTCCTTAACGTATATGCCTAAGCCAAAATACATTAGATGCCTTTCTTCAAGATATATACAAATGTGAACTTACCCATGACTAACAGTTGGCAATGAAAATTTTTCAATCATCCTTTCTTGCTTCATCCTCTCTTGCGCTTCAAATTCCTAATCAGATGTTGCAAAAATTAGTTTCGACAAGAAGACATGATATTCAAAACATAAAGCAAGTTTTATAACTTCAATCTAATAAATCTTTTCAAGTCTAACCTGCACAATCCTTTATGAAATAGGACTTCATGAAAAGTATAGTACAAACAGTAAAGAATGAGAGAAGCAAAAAATCAATGCAGAGCAGGAATGCTATTCATTCAGCACCCTTTTTCAAAATAAATATTGGGGTTATCTGTTTTGGCCCATCTTTAATTTTCTGGGTCAAAGAGTGTTCACCAGAAAGGGACCCCTTTGCTTGTCCTATAGTTTCATAAATTATTTTTCCACCTAGGAATTCAAATGAATAAAAAATGCCACAAATATTTTCCCCACTAAACTTATTCAAAGAATCAAATGGTACCTCATATTTCAGACTGTTAAAAAATAGTACAAGATTGTTTCAATACCCTTTTCACTGTCTTTGTCCATTTACTTGATTAAACAATAAAGTTGTTCCAAATTTCAAAATGATGGGCATAATTGAAAAGAAAAATGAAGTCAAAAATCATATATCCACTGCTACAACTTTAAGGCCCTGTCTAACACGCATAACTGGCTCTTGTGAATCCTAAGCCCAATTTGAGGAAGAAATATTACAGGAATGTTGGTTGTGTAGTGCAGCTATTTCCTTCTGCTTCTTTGGACATGCTGTGAATTGGAATCATCAAACTGATTTCATTCTTATCCCCGTTGAGGGCTTGTCCATTACTAGGACTCAAGTGGTATTTGTAAGCAGGGATAAAAGTGGCCTGTCCATGTTTGCCTTAGTTAATTGCATGACGGGATACAAGTGGTATTCGTAGTCATTCCAGAAAGTTGAAAACTGTCTGAAGATTCATTCCTAAGTGAATGAAAACAAGACTGCAAACTTCGCTGCATTTACAAAACCCATGCTTTATTCTAAAAGTTGGAAACCTATGGGAAAGAAAATCCCATGCTTTAATCTAAAAGTTAGAAAGCACTCCATGGGAAAGCTATTCCCTTGCCTCTGCCCATTCCATGACCCAACAAATCCTAACAGTAACATAGTCTATGATCAACAGCTGGAGAGCTCTGGAGGGGTAAATAATTTTTTTTTATGCTTCTTTACTAACACAAAGTTGACTTGATAAACAAAATAATAACCACAACAAAAGTGGTTATCGGTAATCTAAATCTAAATTTTACACTTGAAAGTTTTAAAAGAGAAACAGCTACCAATGGATTGCTGAGATTGTGAACACCAATGACACAGGGACAAAATAAAAGATCATATTTATTGAAATAAGAGAGAAGGAATGATGAGTATATCTTGCCTTAAGATCAAAAGCAAAAGGTTGCTGCCCAAAGTTGACATTCACCCTGCCAGATCAAAATTAAGCACACATCTCGAGAACATGAGAACATGAATCTGTATTATCTGAAGCTGAGAAGTAAATACGCAAGCAATTGCCTAATTACAACAGATGAACATTTGAAAAAGCTTAAACATTCAAAGAGGATACCACATACTCCTCATTTTGGCTGTGTACAGCAATTGTAGGAAATAAGGGACCCTTCATATCCTTGGGCACTGTCCCCACTACAGCACCATTTTTACTGGCAAACACATGAAACAAACAAGATAACCTTAAACACCACTTTATTCTCAGGAGAAAACAGACTAAACAAAGTAGACCACTGTCTTACGTGAAAAAGAACTCCTGTGAAGCATAATTGATACCACCTCCAACTATATCACCAGAGGTGTAGGTTGGGCCAAAAGCCTCTCCTTTTCCATGTCCACGATAAAGTAGTCCATCATCCCCATGATAGCCACAACTATTTGCCTCCCACCTGCCTCATGGATGATTAGATTAACACAAATAGCATAACTAAAATAACAGAACTTGCCAATTCAAACTAGTACTTTTCAAATCTCACAAACAGTATGAAAAACAATGCTACATGCAGAAAAGGAAAGCTTTTTTGCTTTGTTTTTCCTTCTTTTCTTCCCTTGGAAATTGAGAAGCACAAATAAAGACAGAAGATTTAAAATTGACACCAACCCACTAAATCCTATTCATCACAGGTAGTGGCAGGCCACCAGGGGCTGTTGACTGCATAAAAGAAACAATCTCTCCAATTCATAACAAAATTTATGTACATCTCAACGAAGGAAACTTTTTATGGTGCGTATGTGTCATATGTTTCACCATTATTTCACAGGCCATGCAATTATTAATCCAATTAAGAATAAAAAGTTCAGACAATTAAAGGTCAGACAAACCTATGCAACAGAATACTCATCAGCTGATGAGTTATTTGCCAGTAAAACATATGTCCATTGACCTTCTACGAGTTAACCTAACTAAAAAGAACCACCAAAACCAAAACAAGCTTCTCTCCAATAACATTATAAGAAAATCTCTAGCTTACAAAGTCCCCAGTTGCAGATTAAAACACAATCTCACTTTTGTTTCTTATTTCTATTCTGTCTTGTCCTATTCGGTTTCACAGACACCAAGCAATGCCCCAACTTGAATCCACAACTAAAACCCAATACATCCGTTTAAATTCTTTCATATTTTCCCAAAATTTACAAATTACCAACAAAAAAAAAGACCACGAACAACTGTGACAATTATGCTCATTCATTTTCTCCAACAGCAAACAGACCCAATCAAACTAGAAGCCTCACCCGGGCTGCCTCCGCATCTTGAAGCTCTCAGAAGTAAATCCAATGGCAATCTGACCCTTGGTCCCAGCATCCTTGACATAAATCTCGAAGTAGTAGACAAGCCGCTTGACCGGAGCTGGCTTGTTAGCCTGAACTACACCAACGTCGTGTCCATGAAGGTTGACGTTGGTGTACTTGGCCGAGAGCTTATCGGGCGACACCACAAGGAAGCCTCCAGAGCTATTGATGGTATTGAGCTCTGTAGGAGCCTCCTCGTCCTCGTCCATGTCCGTCAGCACACGGGCCGAGCCGAGCCGCGACTGCTCTAGGAACCAGAGGCCGAGATCTCGATCGCTGTGGCCGTTGGTACTGTTAGTGTTGTTGCTCATTGTTTGAATCTGAAACCCTAGAACTCAAGAATCATTTGGTGAAAATCAGAGTGGAAACTTGGAAACCAAAACCCTTCTTCAATTTAGTAAGATAAATGGAAATGATTTGTTACTGCAGATAGAGGGAAAGAATCAAGAATCTTTTATCACCGTGTTTCCTTGAAAATATTTTATGAAATACTCGCGCTAGCATGGCAATTTTCCAAGGGGATGGCAAGTTTCCCGACGGGTTCAATCTAAATGGGTCGGGTATGAATGATATTTTTATTTATTTTTCAGTACAAGTTATTGTTTAAGAGGGGTATTTAATTGAGTTTTTTTAATTAAAAGTGATAATAATTTTATTGATATAACACACACACAACAACAACAGCAACAAAAAAAAGGTACAGAGTAGTCCGCAATGCAAAATACGAGTACAACATCTCCATTGACTAAACACAAAAATAAATTAGTTTGATTTGAAGAGAATTACGCATGCCAAAAAAACATAAAACCTCCAATTCAGTAGACAAAAACACTTATACTCATACCTACAATACATATCCATTGATTAATGGCAGTTACAGCAAATCAGCATCGAAAAATCGAATACTAAATACAAACATCAGCGAACTCCTATTGAGTTTCTGAGAATTATTAGACTAAAATAAACACAGAAACAAAGACACCGCACTATATCCTCTCCAACAAACCAAAGAGACTCATAGCACCAACATGGCTAAACCTCTTATTTTGCATAGACAAAACTCAATCCCACACAAACTGACAATAATCACTTTTCCAACTCCAAACACTGAACTAGAGCAAAATTCATGTGAGTGGACCAAAAGCTGCAACAAAATCATGGCGTTTACGGTGGATTGCAGTACTTGCTTCAAAAACACAACGAAAACCAAAGAAAAAAGTTGGGTCGACAACACTGCACCATAGCCATCCCAGTGACAACAAGACACATCCAAGAACAACAAAAGTCACCAAGGACCTACCACAATAAACACACAAACAAACTAAAGACAATATCTAGATAGATCTGGGCAAGATGACCCAAAATCCAAAAGAATTTGGGGAGAGAAGAGGAGAGGGGAAGAAAAGTAGGAAAGGAGAAAGGGAGATGAGGAGAGAAAGATGGAAGATGGGAAAGCTACCCACCCCCAGAGGTTGCGGTGGCTGCAGTGCAAGCTCACAGTTTCTCCTTTAGAGAGAGTTTAGAGTTTGTTTAGAAAAAAATCTAGGGTGTGTAACTATGATCTTCTCAATTGAGATTTTAAAAGAATATTTTGGGATAAAAAAAAGTCTTGTGGTATTCCATTAAGACTATTAGGATTTTTAAAAGAATGTGTCAAAATCACATGGTATTCAATCAAGACTTTAAACAAGTATGAAAAAGTCTCATGGTATTCAAAAACTTGCTAATTTCGAAGGATTTTTTAAGATGTGGAATTGTGGGGACTTTTTAGTAGGAGGTAAAAATACCAAACTCTATCTCAAATCCTACCCCAACCCATGAGATTTTTCATGTGAGATTTTTTTCACTTGGGATTTTTCTTCAGAGCCTTCAACGGTATTTGGTAGCCCATCTCCGTACACAGAAAAACTTCTGAGTTTGAGAAATCGAATCAGTAAGAGGGAATGGGGACATATTTACACATAGGTTGATACAATTGTTAGGGAATTAGTAATTACCAAGAAGAATTAGCTGAGATGGCAAAAGGGTTTTCAATTCGAGGAATGGATGTATCACAACACATACTTGCTAGTAGTACATCAGTTCTTAAAGGTAGTGCAAAATTTATGTTCTTCATTGGTAGTTCCATTGTTTCTGGAGCAGTAGAGATTTTCAATTTTGTATCTCAGTTAATGGTATTCTTCTAGGTATTGTATTATCTAATCACATATGAGTCTGGTAGAGTGACTGAATAAGTGATGAGTATGCTTCCAATCTCAAAGTCTACGAGGGTTAGATGTGTGTGAAGTTCTTGATAATGCTATATCTGGTGTTATTTTTCAGGGATGTCTCACATGGCTTTTATTAAGACTGTACAAAATAAATTTCTTGTACATGCCCACCGTTCTTGCAATCCTCAGCTCACTGTTGGTCCCCAACATCTGTTCGTCGAAATGCCTCCAAGAGGCTTCGCTGCAGCAGTTGGGAACCAATATGGGTTACTAGCAGAATTGCAGTTAGCATTGTCATTTTCAAAAAAATAAAACCAAAACTTATTTAGCTGATGTGGTATATTATAAGCCATTGGATGTTTTAAACTAATAATTCATTAAATCAATGTGGTCCTTTCAAATCTTATAAATCTTTTAAAATACATAAGTAAAAAATCTTGATTGTAAAAAAAACGTGTATTAAACACGAGAAATACATGCGGACGTGTATAATATATTATTAAACGTGAAAGTACCAAGATCTTTATACGTATAATAATTATGGAAAAGTAAAAACTCGAAAAGAGACAATAGTTACTCGAGTAATGGCCTAATAGCAACGGATTGGGCTCTTGGGCTATGGAGAAATTTAATTAACACACCCAAAAGATTTCACAAAACACTCCATAAATAGAAATTAGTTATTTTGGGCACTTTTTCTTTAATTTGGTTGTATTAAATAGTAATTAAAATATAATTACTAAGTAAAGTAATTCAAAAAGGATAAGATATTATTTAATTACATATAATAAACCGAAGAAGTAGGCCCAAAACAAAAGTAAAGAAACCAAATCTCATAAAACATTAATTTTTTTTCATAACAGTATAGCCGGACGGCTATACTATTTATAATGTAAAAAGTACCAGCCCAAACCATAGGGCTATACTATTTATAATGTAAAAAAATACCAGCCCAAACCATAGGACCACGTGTCAAAAGGGCAGAGCGCTATTTTGTCGGGGAAAAAAGGGGAAAACGAGTATAGCCGTACATATATATTATTTTTATTCAATAATATGCGGGAATATGTATATAATACGTGAATTTTTGTGCCTTATTGAAATTATTGTAAAAAATATGTGTATTAAGCACGAGAAATACGTGCGGACGTGTATAATACATTATTAACATTAAAGTTCCAAGATCTTTATACGTATAATAATTATGGAAAAGTAAAAATCGAAAAGGGACAATAGTTACTCGAGTAATGGCCTAATAGTAATGGATTTAGCTCCTGGGTTATGGAGAAATTTAATTACCACACCCAAAAGATCTCACAAAACACTTAACAAAAATAAATTATTTATTTTGTGCACTTTTTCTTTAATTTTGTGGTATTAAATAGTAATTAAAATATAATTAGTAAGTAAAGTAATTCAAAAAGGATAAGATATTACTTAAATACATATAATAAATTGAAGAAGTAGGCCCAAAAACAAAAGGTAAAGAAACTAATTTTCATAAAACATTAATTTTTTTTTATAAACAGTATAGCCGCACGGCTATACTATTTTTAAATATAAAAAAGACCAGAGGAGAGCATAGGACCACGTGTCAAAAGGGCAGAGTGCTATTTTTCTGAGAAAAAAGGGGAAAACGCGTATAGCCGGATGGCTATACTATTTTTGAAAACAATTAAGAAAAATTGAGTATAGCAGGGCGGCTATACTTTTAAAAAAATACATATATATTATTTTTATTCAATAATATGTGGGAATATGTATATAATATGTGAATTTGTGAGCCTTATAGAAATTTTTGTAAAAAATACAGGTTTTAAACGCAAGAAATAAGCGCGGACGTGTATAATACATTATGAAATGTGAAAGTACCAAGATCTTTATAAGTATAATAATTATGGAAAAGTAAAAAATCGAAAAGAGGCAACAGTTACTCGAGTAGTGGCATAATAATAATGGATTGGGCACTTGGGCTACGGAGAAATTTAATTAACACACCCAAAAGATTTCACAAAACACTTAATATATAGAAATTAGTTATTTTGGGCACTTTTCTTTAATTTTGTTGTATTAAATAGTAATTAAAATATCATTACTAAGTAAAGTAATTCAAAAAGGATAACATATTACTTAATTACATATAATAAATAGAAGAAGTAGGCCCAAAAACAAAAGGTAAAGAAACTAATTTTCATAAAACTTTTTTTTTAATAACAGTATAGCCGCACAGCCGCACGGCTATACTATTTATAATATAAAAAAAAACCAGCGGAGAGAATAGGACCACGTGTTAAAAGGGCAGAGTGCTATTTTGTTGGGGAAAAGGGGGAAAACGAGTATGGCCGCACAGCTATACTATTTTAAAATAAATTAAGAAAAACTGAGTATAGCCGTGCCGCCATACCTTTTAAAATATACATATATATTTTTTTTATTCAATAATATGTGAGAATATGTATATAATAGGTGAATTTGTGTGCCTTATTGAAATTTTTGTAAAAAAATACGTGTATTAAGCACGAGAAATACGTGCAGACGTGTATAATACATTATTAAACGTGAAAGTACCAAATCTTTATACGCATAATAATTATGGAAAAGTAAAAAATCGAAAAGTGGCAAGAGTTACTTGAGTAATGGCCTAGCAATGACGCATTGGTCTCTTGGGCTAGGGAGAAATTTAATTTACACACCCAAAAGATTTCACAAAACACTTAATAAATAGAAATTAGTTATTTTGTGCACTTTTTCAATAAACATTAATTTGTTTTTATAACAGTATAGCTGCACGGCTATATTATTTATAATATAAAAAAGACCAGCGGAGAGTATAGGAGCACGTGTCAAAAGGGCAGAGTGCTATTTTTTTGGGGAAAAAAAGGGAAAAGGAGTATGGCCGCACAGCTATAGCCTTGCAGCCTACTGTCTAAAATATACATATATTTTTTTTTTAATTCAATGATATGTGAGAGTATGTATATAATAGGTGAATTTGTGTGCCTTATTGAAATTTTTGTAAAAAATACGTGTATTAAGCACGAGAAATACTTGCGGACGTGTATAATACATTATTAAACGTGAAAGTACCAAGATCTTTATACGTATAGTAATTATGGAAAAGTAAAAAATCGAAGAGGGGCAATAGTTACTCAAGTAGTGGCCTAATAGTAACGGATTGGGCTCTTGGGCTATGGAGAAATTTAATTAACACACCCAAAAGATTTCACAAAACACTTAATAAATAGAAATTAGTTATTTTGTGCACTTTTTCTTTAATTTTGTTGTATTAAATAGTAATTAAAATATGATTCATAAGTAAAGTAATTCAAAGAGGATAAGTTATTACTTAATTACATATAATAAATTGAAGAAGTAGGCCCAAAAACAAAAGGTAAAGAAACTAATTTTCATAAAACATTATTATTATTTTTTTTTATAAATAGTATAGCCGCACGGCTATACTATTTATAATATAAAAAAGAACAATGGAGAGCATAGGACCACGTGTCAAAAGGGCAGAGTGCTATTTGTTTGGGAAAAATGGGAAAACGTGTATAGCCGCACGGCGATACTATATGAAAAGGGGCGATCGTTACTCGAGTAGTGGCCTAATTGTAACGGATTGGGCTCTTGGGCTATGAAGAAATTTAATTAACACACCCAAAAGATTTCACAAAACACTTAATAAATAGAAATTAGTTATTTTGTGCACTTTTTCTTTAATTTTGTTGTATTAAATAGTAATTAAATTATAATTACTAAGTAAAGTAATTCAAAGAGGATAAGTTATTACTCAATTACATATAATAAATTGAAGAAGTAGGCCCAAAAACAAAAGGTAAAGAAACTAATTTTCATAAAACATTATTATTATTATTTTTTATAAACAGTATAGCCGCACGGCTATACTATTTATAATATAAAAAAGAACAATGGAGAGCAAGCAAAGGGCAGAGTGCTATTTGTTTGGGGAAAATGGGAAAACGTGTATAGCCGCATGGCTATACTATTTTCAAAACAGTTAAGAAAAACTGAGTATAGCCGTGCTGCTATACGTTTAAAAAAAAAACATATATATTATTTTTATTCAATAATATATGAGAATATGTATATAATACGTCAATTTGTGAGCCTTATTAAAATTTTTGTGAAAAATACGTGTATTAAACACGAGAAATACTCGCGGACGTGTATAATGCAATATTAAACATGAAAGTACCAAGATCTTTATACGTATAATAATTTTGGAAAAGTAAAAATAAAAAAGGGACAATAGTTACTCGAGTAATGGCCTAATAGTAATGGATTTAGCTCCTGGGCTATGGAGAAATTTAATTAACACACCCTAATAGTCACTTGCTTCAATGTGATCGGTCGTTTCGACACCGAGAACACCTGCTTGATCTCTAGATATGGGTGACTGATTGAGTTCCAAAGGGCGATAAGTCATTTCTTCACAGGGACCAAAAGTTTCATCTTCAGATATGGGTGACGGGTCACTTGCTTCAGTGCGATAGGTCGTTTTCTTCCCGAGAGCAGTATATTCAAATACATCATTCTCCAATCCAAGACTCTCCAATTCACTCCCCATCTCCTCCTGAATTAGGGAGGAATGATAGATATAATAGGGCACTTCTTCATGGAAAGTCACATTCAAAGTAACATGCACCTTCTGGGTATGTGGATGATAGCACTTATAACCTTTCTGAATAGACAAGTAACCAATAAAGACACATCACAGAGCACAAGGATCAAGTTTACTCCATTGATGAGAGTAGACATGAACATATGCAACACACCTAAAAACTTTATGAGGCAACTTGGAAATTGAGACAGGGGAAACATGGTCACCAAACACTTCATGTGGAGCCTTGAAATCAAGAACCTGGCTAAGAGTACGATTAATCAAATATGCAGCAGATAAAACAGCATGCCCCAAAAGATTATAGGGAATAGACATGTCCAACATAAGGGAGTGGGCAACTTCAAGTAACTGACGATTCTTGCGTTCAGACACACCATTCTGCTGAGGAGTAAATGAGGTTGTCGTTTGGTGAATAATACCTTGAGCATGGAAGAAAAATGCCAAAGTGTTATTCACATATTCGCCTCCGTTATCAGTCCGAAATACTCTGACCCGAGCATGAAACTGAGTAGACACCATAATACAGAACTCTAGAAGGATGGAAGCAACATCATGTTTATTTTTAAGCAAGAAAACCCAAGTGAGTCGAGTACAATCATCAATAAATGTGACGAACCAATGAAATTCGTTCGAAGTAATACGAGCCGGACCCTGCACATCAGAATGCACTAAATCAAAAGACTTTGTAGCTTTACTGTCACTTAAAGGAAATACAGTGCAATGACTCTTGACCAAAATACATGTCTCACACTTAAAACTAGATTCATCAGAAGAACAGAATAAATATGGAAACAAACGCTTAAGGTAGCCAAATGAAGGGTGTCCCAAGCGACGATGCTATAACCAAATTTGTTGTTTGTCTTTGACATTGCAACTTTGAACGGTATTAACGACATGATCACGAACTGGTGCAGAAGGTAATGTCAAATAATATAACCCCCATATCCGTTTACCATGCCCAATCGTCTTGTGAGTATTGAGATCCTAAAAAGAGCAATGCGTATGATAGAAAGTAGCAGAAGCATTAAGTATATCGAGTAATCGACTAACAGATAACAAGTTACAATGGATATTGAGAACTAGTAACTTACGAGACAAGAACAAAGTAGGAGTGAGAGAGATTGTGCTCTCACCAGTAATTGGAGAGGGCAAGCCATTAGCACTAGTTATGTATAGGTCACGAGTGTTACTATACAACTCAACAAAAAATTCAGCATCATAAGTCATATGATCAGAAGCACCAGTGTCAATTATCCAAATATTGAAGCCAGTACCTGGAATAGAATCAGAAACACACAAATATGTAGAGGCAGTAGCAACAACACCAACAATGGAGTTATCACCCATGATTGCAGTAGAAATTCAATAGATCACGGCAGAGTATATAACGAAACACAGCCGAGGCACAAATACAGCAGATGCACGAAAACAGCAGAATACACAGCGGAACATAACAAAGGCACAAATATGGCAGATGCACGAAGACAGGAATGACACGAACACAGTAGATGCATGAACACTACAACACGACACACAAACCCAGTGTAGAGAAAAAAATGTGGGGATAGAACATGAGTGGGCACAACACACAGGTCACCAGAAAAGTTGGCTCTGATGCCAAGTTAAACAATATGGGTCGAATATTTTTCAGGTTGTATTTTATTCTCCAAAAGAATGTATTTATAGTACAAGGATGTAATCCTAATATGGTCAAACTAGGAAGGAAACAAGATAAAAACCTAATTACACAATATCTGTACAAAAAGGAAAGAAATATAATCCTAATAAACTAGGAAATAAATATCCTAATTAAGCTAGGATCTCGCTAATAGTTTCATGGGATTATTCGTGACGATGGAGGACATATCCTTATTAAGGGACCTTATTTACAATGCGGGCTTTTACTGCTTGTAGTTTCCTGCCACAAATGGTAGTCCATGGCGTTTTTTGTGTGATGTCGTAACTGATGTGTTCTAGTGTAATTGTTCGTGGACAAGGCCAGAACTATTAAGGGGCTGTATTGGGCTTTAGCCTAGTGCTAAGTTTCACTTTAGGCTTAAATGTATAAAGAAATGCAGTACAAATAAATATAAGCCTACTACCTCATAGCACACACACTTTTTTTTTTTTTTTTTTTTTTTTTTTTTTTTTTTTACCAGCAGAAGGGGATAAGATCAAATAAACATAACTTTAAAAAAGATTTATAAAAAAAAAGAAAAAGTAAAACATTAGAACATTAAAATAACACAACTTACACTTTTTTCCTTGTTATTGTTTGTCGTCGGTCAAACTCAAATACAACATTAATATATTAGAACATCATTAAATCAATGGTACCAAGCTCTGAATCTTCAACAATCTGCATGCAATCTAAGGGATTACCTCATCTTTATTTCTCAAGTTTCTGATATTTATTCATTGGTTGTTTGTTTGGTAATTAATTGGCTCCAATTTTTAGTTCTGTTGATTTGTGTGTGTGTGTGTTTTTTTTTTTAAATTTGGTTGTACTTATTTGTGTTAGTGTTTGGAAAACGAATTTCTAAATTTAACTAGACTATAGGCCTCGTTCGCATTTAGTTATGTTGTTTTGGGGCTTTAGCCCCCTACCAAAAAAAAATTTAAACAATTTGAATCATTATATATTATATTATAGAAGAAGCCATGTAAAAAAATAATTAATCATACTCTAAATAAATTCCCTGATTCCGCCATTGTTCATGAACTCCACAAAAAGTAACTCCAAGTTAGTCACTAGTCCACAAACACACAATCATCTGGATCTAGCTATATATCTCCTAGTTTATTTAGAAAAGAATGGGAGTTTGAATGACTTGTATACTAGTTGCAATTTTTGTGTTGTTGACAAATAAGTGACATAATTAGTTTGTATTGGAACGTTTATATTGACATCCTTGGAAATTTATATATAAAAATTCCAAATGCTATATAACTTAAATAACTTATCATAATTATGGAAGAAACTAAATGTCTCTCAAAAGAACTTTGTAAGCTAAGACACACATCGAAGCAATAAACGAACAATCCATATGGAATTCTATCCCGATCTGCTAGTTTCAGACCCCTTTATTCCAGTTTATCTCTCTCCTTGCCTTTCACATATACACTGTGACTGCATGATAAGACAAGCCGAAAATACAAATTAATATTAGTTAGCAACCGATTATTAGAAATTTGTAACATGTGATTGTCATAATTACACAAAATATACATGAACTTTGTAATTGTGTTATAGAAATCTTGAATGAGGCCATGACATGTCCACATCCTTATTATTACAATTGATTAAATATGAACACTTTTTGACTGTGGTGCCACCCGTGTGCGTTTGTTTTCATTATTTACCTTAAAAGGAAAATTAGTCATAAAAAATAAATATTAAATGCAAATATGCGTAATATAAGGGTGTTTTTTCAAAATTTTTAGCATGAAATCGGTCTATAATAAAATACCCCTTTGTTAATTAGAATTAACAAATGAGTTGCACAGACCTGCTTATGCTTCAAGTTTTCACAGTTGTGACATACTTCATGAGCATGCTGACGATATCCGATCGGACCTTTGAGGATGATTCCTTCAAGTTTTTAATCTTCGCATCAGTTTCCTCCTCAAGCCTTTTTACATTGGAGCCAGAGCTCCCACTTGTCTGAAAAAAAATTAAACCTAATCAAAGAAACGTATATATATCACAGAATAAGGACTCAAATTACTTTATAGAAGCTCATGTTGTGGTACATCTGAAATCATCTTTTGATACTCAGCCTCCATATTGGTGCGATAGAGTTGCACTTCCCTCTCAGCTTCGTCTTTAGCTTGCCTCAAGCGCGCCGTCTTCGCTGAAGAATGTAAGATTGTTGTTGTTAGAGTCAAGGAGTAAAAAGGATAAGAAGACACCACCCAAAAAAAAAAAAAAAAAAAAAAAAAAAAAAAGAGAGCTTATGGATTTACCGGTTCTAGCACTGTTAACAATGTGTTGAGCATCCTGTTCTGCTGTTAGCAGCATCTGGATGCTGCCTTGTCCTCGAACGGAATCCATGGCAAGTGTGTTATCTGAAAAAGGGAAAGAACTAAGTCTACCTTGAGAAAACCAAGGAACTTTGAAAATATAACACTATATAATTCGTTTTTCTCATCTATACTTTTTACAGAAACCCTTTCATCTCTACCTTGAGACATTTTTCTTGGCTCTCATCTTGTTCAATAAGTGAAACCTCATCAGATATTCAATCCAGAAAAGTCCAATAAATTCTAGATGACAGAAAAGACATTTCCTATGGATAGAGTAGCATTCAGTAATGAATAGCTATTGCAACAAAATATATGTATTGATTCACCTTTCAAAAATAAGGGTTGTTTTGATGCAAAAAAAGGCAGATTTATATAATTAAATAATAGTAGAATTAACTCGTTTGTGAACTGATACTTGCATATCAGTCCCTCAATAGAAGGGAACTATATATATATATATGGGACAAAAGATTCAGAAAGAGAAAGCAAGAAAACTTTAAAACATGTGATATTAGAAAATACCTGAATTTCTTCTGCCTTATTGAAGAGTAGAAAGGAAAATAGGTCAAAACTTGAACGAAAATATTAATAACAGAAGAGTTATATCCTCAGAAACGCTCTCAGGAGGAGTAATGAACGAGAGTATAAGTTGTTTGAAGATAAAAAATGTTGGAGAGGAGAAACTCCATAAGTGCCACGTGTAATTAAGTAGTATATTATGTTTTAAGAAAATTACCAGCAGAGACTCGTTCTGTTGAGAAATTACTGGGTCCTCAACCCCAAAAATTTCCATGGTGATGAGTGAGCTCTAGATTCTCTTGTTATCATCTTATTATATATCTAAATTGATGAACACATGACACGTATACAAAGTGAGCTTCAATTGGGATCCCTCAAATCAAAGAATGTATATATGTGCAGTGGCGGAGATGGTAACTTATCTTTCGGGGCAGTACTGTAGTTTCAAGGCTTTACAGTTCTTATATTTCAACTGATATAGCATCAAGTATTTAAGAGTTATTGGCTTTTTCATGGGACTTGGGAGGCCCACGGCCACTACAATCTTGTATGTGGCCCCACCCCTGTATATGTGTATAGCAGTTCCAAACATACCCGTGCTTGCTTTTTTCATGTTTAGTTTTTCAACTCTCTTGCAAGACTTGTGTTATAACTGTCTACCCTAAAATGTTCAAGCCGTAGAGATAGGGTTGAGATTATGTGAATTGCGAGTGTGCAACTATTAGCAGTGAAAAAACCGCTAATAAACTTTAATGAAATAAATAACTTACGCACCAAGATACTGAATTAATCAAAAGATTGTGAATTGAAATAGTAAACTACTCCAATTGAGGTTCTTTTCTATGCTCAAGACAAATTAGGACATTATAATTTATCTAATACAATGAAAGGGAAATAAACAGAAAATCCATGGAAATAGACTCATATAGTTGACCTCAGGCCCTGATCATTCTGACCTTCCATGTCCGTCGCCTATTTTTCCAATATGTCAGCCGATATTGACGATGATTTCATCAGAGTCCATATGTATATGGTTAAAATTAGTGTAACCCCAAAATTTGAGTACATGTTAGTACTCGAAAAATAAAATGACAGTTTAATAACATAACATTAATATTATGTGATATTTATTTGTTGAAAGGATCCTTGATATTATAAAAAACTTATTTATTTATTTATTTAATAAAGCAAGTGGATTTAGTACAAGAGAAAAAAAGTGATGAGAGTTACAAGAACAAGGGCAATGAAAAAAATACCATACAATGGCTCGCCACCCCTGGCTAGCTACTAAGTCAACCATCAAAGAAAGCAGCATTATCCCAATCAAATGAACTACATGGTTGGCAAAGCTTATTAGCCACATCATGCATTGCCCTCTCTGTCTATATGAGAAACTTTGAAGCTTGATCATGAAACTTATTCTTCGATGAAGACAATGTCTCCGCTGAGGACACAAAGACCAAGGAGCAGAAAGGGGTTTAGGGAAAAAATGTATGACCAACTGAGAATCTGTTTCCAACCATAACGAAACCAGCCCTTCTCCCAAGCTGTGATTATAGCGAACATGAGGACTGCAAGTTTAGTCACATGCGCAGCGGGGATACCGATTGGCTCACAAACAGCACTGACAGCACGACCGGCATGGTTGCGAAAGAGACCACCAAAGCCAGCTTGCCCCAGAAAACCTTTTCTTGGTCCATTTGTAGTAGCCTTAATCAATCTGCTTTTATAAATTAATTAGCCTTAATCAATCTGCAGTCCTTAACCTAGCTTCTACTCTCTAGCAATGCATGATAACTCATGGAATTTGGAAAGGGACAACTAAAAACCTAATGTACATACCTGATCGCTGGAACTGGTACATCCAAGATAGACGGTGGCCTTGTTCCCACACTGTTGATATTCAAACATTTCCCTGCTGAACCATTTGATGTATTAACGATACTAATTGTTTCTTCAACATCATCATCATCATCATCACCATGGCCATCATAATCATAGCCATAAGCATCATCATCGTCTTCATCGTCATAATCATCATAAGCATCTATATTGTCATCATACTCACTACAGTATTCATCATCATCATCATCATCATCACCATCACAAGCAACTGGTGGAACTAAAACGTCGTCGTCAAGCGGGACAAGCTGCAGCCTAAGACGGCCGTTGGATCTGTGTGCCCTAAAGTACTCATGGTGCCTCACCTTCTCCTCAATCAGAATCAACCGTCCGTCGGTCGTGTAATGCCTCTTCAAAATCCAAGGCATGTGAGAAGGAAGATTCTCCGTTCTCGCCAGCGACGGGATGGGAGGTGGAACCTCCATATAGTCTTTCATCTTCATCTTCTTGGGTGCCCACCTTAACGATCTTTCCTCTCTCTTGCTAAAACGGTTAGGTTTATGACGGAGGCGACCGAAACCCAATTCTTCGTCAGTCAGAACGTCGACGCAGGACTGCATGCCAATGTAGTCCCCGGACGTTAATAGAGAGGGGGAGGTGGGTGGAGAAAAGTCGTCATCGGAGATCATGATATGATCAGATGGGGTTTGTTGGGGTTCAAGAGTGAGGGGCTTGAGATTCAATTCTAGTTATAGAGGAGGATGGGTCTGGTTATCCTTGGATTGGAGATCTGCATAGTGTTAGTTTTGCTTTACATACAAAGACTTTTACAAGTGTATATTATCTGTGACTTGAAGGTTGATTGGTTTATTCGGGAATCAGCTGAATCACCTGGATAATTTCAACCAAACAAATCAAATTAAGCATGTTGTTAGAAAAATAAAAAAAGTTGCAAAATTTATAATATTAAATAAATAAATAATGTAAAAAAATAATAATAATAAAACTACATATAACCAATAAAAGACTATATATAGACCATAAAATTGAATCTTGTGCACCGTAAATATCATCCAATTACTTAATGGTCAATGGTCATCATGATCAACGGCCACAACAACTCACAAATGCATGAATTGTCTGGCATCTACGAGGGGTATACTATTTTTAGTTGGTCAAACGAAGAAAAAAAAAGTAAATTGGAAAAAGCACAAAAGAAACGAATACGCGTCCGAAAAGCTCGAGAGTCGAATATGAAAGTGAGCAGGTCAGCATGCAAATATGGAAACTAGAAATCAAACACCAAGAGAAACCCAGAAACCCTGCTTCTTAATACTGCTAAGCATTGAGCTATAATCATAGTTGAGATAGAAAAATAAACGAACTATAACAGTGAACGGAGATATGAGTTTAGGATTAGGATAGATTAAGCGTCCGATCTCAATCATAGTTGAGACAGAAAAATAAACGAACTTACGGGAGGACAATAAGGGATGATTGAGGTGTAGGGCGTGTTCTTCGCGCAGTCACAAACACAGGAGGAGCAGGCAAAGGAGAAGATGGCAGCAGCAACAACACAACTCATAATGGATATTCCACGACCACCGTCAACCAGGGAGAGAGAAACAGATCTGGCTCGTAATATTGTGTTGGTTTTTTAATAGTTGAATTTGGGAGCCGACATGTCTGCCTTTATTTCATGTACTAAGTGTTTGTTTGGTCGTTCAATGTTTCTGTCTGAGCAGGCAGGACGTATATGATGATGATGCTGTATGCTAATTTTAGCGACCGGGTTTTAGGGATATTAATGTGATAACCGAGTAGGGCTCGGCGCAATATTGCTGGAGATATCCAGAAATTTTGAAATTTTTTTAAGGTTATTTTTCGTAATTAAGGTTTTGAATATTGCAATATGCATCTGTCACATGCCAAATATGGAGAGTCCTGAAGATACGTACAACCTCATCATTGATATGTAGTCTTGTAATGTTTACATTCCTACTCATTAATGATTGGAATTTACGGGATTTAGGAGTATGGGTTTTGGTAAATAAAATAGTTTTTTAGAACATAATAATGTTACGGCACCAACTTATTTATCAACTTTTAATAATACTTTATCAATTCGTGTGATACATGATATGACAACTTATTTAGTTAATTTGTTAAGTTTTTATTTTAAATTTTTTATGTACATATGTAACGAAGTCATCGCGATACCAATCATACACGGCAAAACCCACTCACACCGATGCTAATCGATCATGGCGAATCAGTGGTGGGATGGACATGTAGACCTACCATAAGGAGTGAATGAAAACTCAGCAGCAGCCAACATCTCTCCAATGAATTTTTTTTATTCAATTATAGGCATCTCCATCAACAACATTACTTTCATTGAGATTTTGAAAGATTTTAAAGAAGTTTTTTAAAGTCCATGTGTATTCAATCACGATTTTATAGAAGTCTATAAAATTCTTGGTGTATTCAATCACAATTTTAATAGAAGTTTATAAAATTATGGGTGTATTCAATCCAGAATTTTCAAACTCCATCCAAATTTGGATGTAATCAATTATAACTTTAAAAGACTTTATAAAAGTTTGGGTGTATTAAAAAACTTATTGATTTTAAAAGAAATGCAAAAAGTGGTGGATTTTGATTGGTTTTAGACTAATTTTAGACCATGACAAATCTTTGCTTCCATGACCATTTTAAGGGAAAAACAAAAAGTGGTGGATTTCACATCCTCTCATCCATGACTAAGGCTGGGCACGATTTGATTATCATGCCATCGAGGAGTTGCTGACCATTGAACCGGATGTCGTCGTCACTACTTTTTCGCGAACCGTTGCGCTTGCCGATGAGATGAGAGTCCGACTTCAATTTGTGCGCTGAGAAATCGGTGCGATACGATTTCAGTGAGCGTCGATGTTAGAGGATTGAGACAAATAGGCTGCGGCTTCGCGACTTGGAGTATAGGTTGGAAGAAGAAGAAGACAGAGAAAAGAGAAGAAAGAGAAGAAGAAGCCAAGGAAGAAGAGAAAGAGAGAGAGAGAGGTGAGTAAATACTCCAGACCACTACATTAGTGGGCCTTTGCGATAAGTTCCATGTTTAAGTTGTCAAATAATTGAAATATCAATTTTTCCTCTTCAATTCACGACCTTTAGCTAAATCTTGAGTTATTTTCCTCCATCCAAACGGGAGGTAACTTTTTTTTAATGCTTTTTTATTCTTTTAGAAAGTAATGAATACGATGATTATACCTATATTACACAAGAAGAAGAATTAGTCTATTGGTATTTGGACTTTATCTGAACATGAAGGCTAAGGTTTGAGTCCCCATCAGCGTACCAAAATTTTGCATTATTAGGCAATTACATGGTGGTTGTCCAATTTGGGTTGTCGTTGGTTTAGGAAAATTTAAATCGGTTCATAGCTGGTTCGGCCAAGTTTCCTATCAATTTCAATGGTATTCATTAAAAAACCAAACTAACCCGCCAAAATCAGTCCGGTTCATCTAGATTGGTTGGATTTTCGGTGTAAATGCCCGCCCTATTCATAACCCAGTTGGTCCCTTGTTGTATGACCGAACAAAAATGTTGGTCTCAATTGCAAATTTGTCTTTATAATGGGTTAGTTTTTGGTTTACATCTCCACCGCACAAGCCATCCAAGGGTCGAAAATAGAAATCTTTTCTGAATCCGCACCATGTAATTCTGGCTCCGTGCCTGCACACAACCTTCGACCTTTTTGTAGTTTCCACAGCCCACCGTCCATGGCTGCCATATCATTCACACCCCACGTTCAAAGACCTCCGATACCTTTACTTTCCAAGCCCAGAACCCTTAAAACCAAATCCAGAGTTTCAACTCAAGCTTCTCCAACCTCACAGCTGGCCTTATCAGACCCCTTTGTTCTTCAACTAGCTGAAGCTCTCGAGGACTCGCTACCCTCTTCTTCTTCTTCTTCTCCTCCTTTACCTCTCCAAAATCTAAGAGACTCTTCCTCTGAGGCCCTCCTCTCAACCCCATGGCCTTCTCGCAAAGACGAGCCCTTTCGCTTCACAGACACCTCCTTCATCAAGAACTCCCAAATCGAACCAATCTCTCGCCCACCGAGCTTTCCAAGCATTTTGGAAGATACCCATTTCCCAACTCTAGTTATAGTTGATGGGTTTGTCGTAAATTTCTCAAATTTGACCGAATTGCCAAATGGGGTTTATGTGGGTAGCTTGCTGGAGCTCACAGAAGAGACCATTATGAAAAGGGTCTCTGAGTTTGTGTCTAGTAGTTGTGATGGAGACTTATTTTGGTCCATTAATGGAATTGGGGCTCCCGATTTGACAGTGATTTATGTACCATCTGGGTGCCGGGTGGACGCTCCAGTTTATCTGCGGTACTTTGCTAATGAGGGCGGAGATGAGGGGTCGAATAAACTCCCGTTATCGAATCCGAGGGTGCTTGTGTTGGTGGAGAAGGGAGGGGAGATTGGTATAATTGAGGAGTTCTTGGGTGGGGATGGTGACAAGTGTTATTGGGCGAATTCTGTTTTCGAGGTAGTGGTTCGAGAAGGAGGAAAAGTTAGGCATTCTTATGTTCAGAATCAATCTTTGAATGCTGCCCACATAAAGTGGACTTGGGTCCGCCAGGTTAGTTCTTGTTCTCTGTTTCTTTGTGTTACATGTTCCATGGCCTTTTACTTTTGTATTGCTTGGATATCTATGAGGAGACTTTAGAAATGATAATTAGGTTCGATTTGTTGTTAGCATGGCATATGGAAGAATGGGCAAGAAACCAATAATTCTACAAATATATATGTGCATATAATTTAGTAGGTCTTAGCAAGATCATTGTGGTATTTTGATAACCTGTGGAATGCACGAGAAGCCTTTTTTTATAAGGACTGAAGTTAATTAAAAAGAGTTTATAGTGTTATTATTTGAAACAATATATTGCAGCTAGTTCCCTTTATGATTTGGTTTTTGTTTATGAGTGACATTTGTTTTAAAATGCTATTTGATAGAATCTTACTTGAAAATTAACTCTCAATTTTGGTAACTGCCCATGATCCCATACCTCATATTTAACTTTTATCCTTCTATGGATCATGCAGTTCCCTTTGCATCAAATTTATGAAGTTGATTGCTTTTCAGGAATCAGCTAGTACATATGAGCTTGTAGAGGTTAGTACTGGTGGAAAATTGAGCAGGCATAATCTCCATGTTCAGCAACTGGGACCAGACACGACCACCGAGTTATCAACTTTGCACTTGTCTGTCGGTGATCAGACACAAGATCTACATAGTAGCATAGTCTTGGACCATCCACGGGGTTATTCCAGACAACTTCATAAATGCATTGTGTCTCATTCTCTAGGACAAGCCGTATTTGATGGGAACATAAAGGTCAACAGGTAAATCTCTTTTATGACTGTCCAGGTTATTGTGGGCTTGTTAACTTTGCCTCACAATACTTTGTGCCCATTTCCTCAACCGATGTGACTTCTTTGTTCTTGGAGATTCTCAGCTTACATATGTATGTAGTTCCAAACCAAGGAATTAATTAGATGGCTCTAGTGTAGGGCAATGAAAGCCATGTTATTCTATGGGATTTTCTGAATAAAATTCCTGACAGCTTCCTAAACTTCTGAGGCTACCTCTTGTATCATTGACTAGATTCTTCACATTTGCTGCTCACCAATAAGGTTGGACTAGGAACAGTGTATGCCTTTTACAAAATGGGTGCTTATATTTTGCAGATATGCTCAGCAAACAGACGGAGGGCAGCTGACAAGAAGTCTTCTTCTTGCACCTCGTGCAACTGTAAATGTCAAACCCAATCTTCAAATTATTGCTGATGATGTCAAGTGTTCGCATGGAGCTGCAATTAGCGACCTAGAAGAAAGCCAACTCTTCTATTTCCAGGCACGTGGCATTGACTTAGAGGCAGCGAGAAAGGCTCTCCTATTTTCCTTTGGTGCAGAGGTGATCGAAAGATTACCTTATGCTTGGATGAAGAAGAACGTAGAAAGTCAAATTAAAGAATTGTTGGATCCTACTAATAAAGGATCATAATTGGAGGTGCTAGCATAGGTCATTGGCTACGGGAATTTTAACTGTTATTGAGAATCAAATAAATTTTGGTCTTATTTGTAACTATGGAACGCTTCTGCTCCATTTCATTCCCAAGCAAACAGAGACTAGAAATAAATTATTTTGATTTTGCACTGTAAAATGGTTCCTGTTGTGTCTATGTTGTCACATATTAATCATAAATTGAAGATATTACGTCATTTGAGATGCATGGTTGTAACTTGTATATGTATTGATTCAAGAGCTTATTTGTGCTGATTATGCTTTTGAAATTCACATGAAGAATCCCTTATCCAGGGGTACCTCAGAGATTTATACAGAGGTATGCCTTGTCTTTGAGTTTAAAATCACTCTCTCTCTCTCTCTCTCTCAGCTGGATATACTGGGTTTGAAATCAATACAATCTTATCATCATTGTTTCTTCATGGAAACACAGATAGTTAAGGGATTGGGAGAGACATAGGTGGGTGCATTACCTGGACGTGCCATGAGCTTCATTACCAAAAGATCCAATCTAGACTCTCCAACAGTAAGACCAACTATTAATTTTATGATATGACAATATTTGCATCAATATTCAGTTATTTTTATGAGATCTATCCTCAAAATTTACTCTCATCTTATTGTGGGACAGAAGTTAAATGTGGTAGATTTCGTGAACCTTTGCATCTCAGACATGAATCTGACTTTCAGGTTAATGGTTATCCAAGCAAGCCAATAGGATTATACAGTAAGCAGTCTATCATATTCGGATCAGACTCAAATGCTGAGGACCTGGAAGGATATGCAGGTGCTGGGTTTTATGACAGGTTTGTGCTGAAGTTGAATTTTTTAGAAGAGTAGCGTTTTCATAACTTCAGAAAGTCGCCTACTTTTTAGAAATATACAGTGTTTGGAAGACTAGAGAATCCTAGGATGTTTTAAAATGGGTATGATGCTGTGCTATCTTTCATGTTATTGAAATGGTCAAGTCCATAGTCTAGTCTTCCATGGGGATACTGTTCAGTTGTTCAACAGTCTCTTTGCCATCTCAAATCACACTGGGTCAAGTACAAAACAAAGAGCCAATTTGACCATTTTAGCTTCGGAATTCTTATTTCTTAGCAAAGATGCACTTTTCAATGGAAGAATGTGGTGGAGTTTCCCAACTTTTAGTGTGTTAATATTTCTTTTGTCCCATGTTCTTAGTCATATAACGTCTCTGAACTTGTTGCAGCTTGTCGTGGATAAAGAGGAGAAGATGCACTCCGACTCTTGTCCTCTCCTCCCTGAGTAGAGTAATAATATTGTAGCTAATCCTACTAAGAAACCAAGGTATGAATAATTTATTAAAATAAATTTTAATTATGAATCTTAAATGGACACATAGACAAACTAGTGTGAGGAGCAGGCAAAAGAAAACAGGAACACTTGCGATCAAATCTGGGTACAGGGGAACACCCCCATGAAAATTTCATTTGATTCCAAAACGAAATCCCTTTGGATTCACAGCCATGTGACCGTGAATAACAATTTAGCTCCTCAGAGGCCTTAGCAATTAAGGATCCCATTGGTAAAGATTGGAAGTATGTTGTGAGCCATTTTGTTTCTAGTAACTACAATTCCTTCAAATGCAATTTTAGTTGCAAGGGAGGGTGGTGAGAAGTGGAAGCCTATGACTGATGTGGTTCTGTTTTTGTTTTGTTGTTGTTGTTGTTGTTGCAACTTCTGTGTATGGGAAACGTAAATAGGAGAAACTTTATATGGATAAAGCTGCTGACGAAGCCATCAAATGCTTGATTTATATTTTTTATTTTTTCAGAATGAAGGAAGCACAAGTCGAATGTCTTAAAGAGAAGAAACTTTTCAAGGATACAACTGCAAAGCTTAAAGCAGATCATGAAAAGGCCTTTGAGAGTGATAATGGTGAAGTTGGAGATAGAGTCACTTAGTCACGGTGCAGGATGGAGGCCATAACTCTAACCCTTTCTCAAGTCATCTATTTGTTTTACCGTTGAGTCCTTCCATTTATATATTATCATGGTTTATGTTATTAAATTTTGGCAACATGTAAAACACAATTCATCACAGTGCCCCTCTCGTGCATGTATGATCTCTTCAATCAGCAAGTGTATGATACTTCCTACATGCAGGCTTGACGGATCCAATGCCAAATGGCCAACAAAAGTTTCGAACAAATTGGGGCCAATCCTTTGCCGCAAACCGTTAAGTTGACCCCGTCTCACTATTGATAGATGCAAATATGCAGATATGAGTCTCTAGTTGCCTTCATTTTGTTGACAACAACATACATTTGCTTACGCTCAGTTGGTGATATTGCTGGGCATGAGAGTCCTATTTGCATCACTGAAACCAAGCAATCCTCCAATCTTTTTGTTTGGATAGGGCTGCCATCCTGGTAGCTTGTAATTGGTCTTGCTCGCGTGTAATTTTGGTATCTTCCATCATCAACATCAGCAACATCTCTTTCAATGAGCAATGAAGGGTCAACTATGTCCATGGCTGTGACTTGTTGAATGCTTAGACCACCTCTGAACATGTCATCTGTAGGCCTTCATTGCACTAATCGCTATTCAACCACTAATCCCAATTTTTGAAAAATCTCAAACCTAAATGGCTAATTTCAAGCCCTAATATGGAATGGGGAGAGTTTTATATGAGCTTTTACGCTCAAGGATTTTGGGTTGACGAAATTACCCCTTGCACAGTCAAAGAAATTGACAAGAATACTTACTTGTCCTTAAATTGCTATAAATACGAAACTTCAGAGTTAAAATTGATGGAATTAAAATTACAAAATCAAAAACAGTTGAAGTGCCAAACTATAAGGACTAGAAATGATTTTTAGCCAAATTCTTAACCATCAGGCATCCAGCTTACTTGAGATAAGGTTTTATAACTTTTCCTAAGACAAAGCCAAGAAGTGAGATGTCGTTCTCGTAGGTGGCTCCTAGCCTTTCCCTAGGCTATTTTGTGTAGACCACTTGAATCTCATCCAAGAGTATAACACATTAACAACATTGCATGAAACATTTCTCAACAAAATTGTATATTCCCATTACCTCCCATTTGTTGGTCAACGATCTCTTTTCAGTCAACCGCTGATAATATAACAAGGATCCATAGCTAATTCAAACTTAAACCCTAAGCTTTTTCAAACTTAGCAACGGTGTTGTTTGACCATGATATATTGCAATATCATTGGAATATAGAAATAAAATGTTGACTAACTAATAAATAAACACAGCAATATATAATGACACTTTCTTTATAGTCCATACGTCCAATTTCTCTGGTTCTGCAGAATCAAATTGTATCCGGTTCTTGGTTTCTAGACGTATAGTTGGTTCTTTCCTTTTTCTGCAACTTGCTATATTTATCGTAAAATCTCTTAAATGTTGCGCTACGTAGGTGATTAAGTTGAGAATAATACGTAAACCATAAACAAGCGCATGCTACCACATTAATTGGGATTTAAATAGTTCATAAAACAGTTAGTGTCCCCTGCACAAATAAATTCGTAGAAAGAAGACTTGAAGAATTTAGTTATTTGAAAACCCTTGTGATAATCAGTGTTGTGAAATTATTGCAAGCGCACAATCCGTACAAGTAATATAGAAATAAGTAGAGTGTCGTTCCCACGAAGACTGTAATTTCCTATTAACTACCAATTATGATTAATTCAGAAGTTTATTTGAATAGATGATTAAGAAGATTGATTGATTTAAGTAAACTAAAACAATTATGAAAAATAGCAATTTAATTAATGATAGAAAATCAAGATGATGATACACTAGAGCATCCGATTTCACCCTAACCAATTCCACTTACTTCTTATAGCCAATTAACCCTAATTACTACCCATGTTGACAATTGGTTTCTCTTAATTCATTTGATATCCCCTCTCGGGCTCAACCAAAAGTATTCTTAATTAACAACCCATTCTCTCTCGAGCAACGGATTTAGAAAACCAAGAACCCATTAAGTTCTATGAGAACCTGCAAGAAAACTGCATGAGTCATGTTAGTCCCTCTCGGGCACTCATTCAATACATGGTATCTGTTATCAGAAGCAAACACCAAACATCTCCTCTCGGTCTCCACTTGGATCATCAAATCAATTAAATATTGGCCATATATTCAAAGCATTAAGAACAATAACAAATACTCAACATGGAATAGTAATAAAAAATTAATATAACTATAAAAATTAAGTATTCATGGTTAGGCTACATCGTAGCCCTAGCAAGGAAAATTAGTTCATGACAAAAGAAAAGATAAATAAGAGAATTGTTGTCATAAAACCGATTTGGCCGATGGATTTGATCTCTGGATTCTCCACAGCAGCAGAACAAATTCTTGGCTCTCTTTCTGATATATTTGTCGCTGTATGAAAGTTGTATATGGGAAGATGATGGTGGAAAAAGGTGATCCTATGAAGAGATCATAGGGTGACCTTATATAGTATAAAACAACTAAACCCTACTTCAAAAAGGTCTAGAAAAACTCTCCTAAAGCAAAACAAAATCTCAAACAATTAAGGAAACAAACTAGGAAAGAATCATTCTTTGACTTGGAAACACGTCAGCCAACTTGCACGCACGTTTTGGGGTCGTTCCACTTCCTAGAAAATTCTGGAAAAATATGAGAAACGTAGCTTTATCTCTAAGCTTTCCAAGCATATATTACATGCCACTAGGAAAAATCGGAAAGATATTCAAATCTTCACTCTTCCACAGCAGTGCAGTTCTGACGGGATTTCAACTTAGGCTGTCTTGACTTGCAGGTCTGGAGCATTTGGCTTGGTAGAAAATTATGAAACTTTGATACAATGATCTTCAATGTCTTAGCTTTCTTCTACAATTGGCCTTGCACTAAAATGCATTCGAAAAGTCGATTTTCAGTTGAAATCCTTCCAAGAGCGCAGAATGGCTGAAAATAAGTAAAGTAATAATACTCTTTTTAATTAACTTTCCCCACAAAACCTACATATAAAAGGTGTAAAAATATAGGAAATAATACACTTATCAATCAGCAGATTGAAAAACAAAACCTTATGCCTCTTCTAATAATATTCTGAGATTTTAAACATTGGCTAATTAGATTTATATCGTGTGAACGACCGCGCACTTACTAACTTGATTATCATCTCCCCCCATTGTTGACTTTAATTCCTTATTAATTTTTCCATAATTCATCCTAAACCCTTCTGCAAGCAATTACAACTGTAAAGTATGTATTGATGAAGTAGTTCATTTGAATTCAAATGTTCTCCTTTAAACATTTGACTTTTGATAATTAGTATAAGTAGAGCAATCTTCATAGCCTCCAAACTCACAGAAAAGCATGGCTGCAGACAAGAATATTGGAGCAATGGTTCTTCTCCTTGTTTGTGGTATGTGATCTCCCACTCTTCTTCAACTCACCTTGTTATTATAAGTTTTTGGTAACACGCACGGCTATGTTGTATAATTCGTCCGTAAACATGTTATATGATGTAGCCATACTCCAGTACAATATATAATTTCTCGCAGTATTTGCTTTCAATTTTGAATGATGTATTCTTGACTATATATATGATGAATCATCCGTCTACGTTAAAAAAATTCATGACAGGTTCAATCCTACTACTGGCAATCAATCCAACTGAAGCCAAAGTTTGCAATAAGATTTGTTACGGAGCAGCTGCTTATATGACTTGCCCTTCTTCAGGCAGTACGCAGCTTGATCCAGTCTGCAATTGTTGCTTAGCTCCGGCCCTGGGCTGCACCCTTTACGAATCTGATGGAACTCCAATCTGTACCAGTACTTGAATATGCTTGGAAATATATATATATATATATATATATATAGGTGTGCCTATAAATAAATAATTATGGTTTCCCCTTACCTAGCATATTAATGCTTCCAGTAATAATAATAATAATAATAAACAGACTTCGATGTCTGAGTTTCATATTTGCTTCCATCAAGGGCATGCTGATAATTCTGACATTTATTCTACGCAGTTCCTTGTGGAAATAGTAAAGGGAATTAAATTATCAATCAATTATATTTATTATAAAGGCTTAAAATTAAGAAGGATCTCCTCCTTACAATCAGTTTTGACACTCGTTAAATTCAAGCAACATTGACAAAGTTTCATGAAAAAAGAAAAAAGAAAACTAAAAAAATGTAACATGTGTCAAAACCACATTGGTTATGAGGGAGGAGCTCCTCCTCAATTTTAAAGAGCCGAGCTTTTTCCTTTTTGCTTGATATATTGCGCATGAAATCTAGTCTCTCCGTCCCCATTGGTAAAAAATTTACTATTCATATCCACTCTAGAGTAAAAAATTTAAAATGACTCCATGTCTCCATGTTGGTCTTGCACTTGTTGCAATGCAAAGATCAAAATCTATAAAAAGAAACTACATAAAATAGTTCATTACAGATGTGGTTGTGGGAGCAAATAATTTCAAGACCACTTCAGTGACGTCACATGGAAATTAAAATAAGGGTCAAACTTGTCCTAGGTCACATTAATTACGTTGATTAAATACTCATTTAATTAGCTAATTAATGGGGTTTAAAATAAAGCTTATCTCCACAAATCAAGCAAAATTGGTTGCATTCAATTTTTCATGTTCTTATGAATCTTATCCATCTCCTTTGTCAAAGGGATAATTCCTTGAATAAAGAAATTATTCTCCCTTAATAATTCAAGAGATGACTACAAGATATTTCGCATATTTACAGCCAAGCAAAATACACCAAAAAGGTAATCAATTCCAAAATCAACAATTAGTCTCAGGATCAATTTCGATTGCCACCTATTCCTTAGTGCCCGTTTGACATTACTTATTTAGGGTGATAATTGATTTTTAAAAAAATTTGGGAAGCCCAGCCCATTTGGTAAACTATAATAAAATCATTTATTGTTAAAAATTGATGTGAGAGAAAGTTATAAAGGAAAGCAACTAATGATGTGCTTTCATTTCTAATTATGCGAGAATCATTTTTGAAGAGGCGCTAAGTTTAATGATTATGCGGGAATCAGTACCAACTACACTTTTAATAAAAAGTCAACTAAAAGCCAAACTGCTTTATCTCACAGCTGATTCGAAGAGGCGCTGAGTTTAATGATTATGCGGGAATCAGTACTAACTACACTTTTAATAAAAAGTCAACTAAAAGCCAAACTGCTTTATCTCACAGCTGATTTCTCTCATAGCAAATTTGAATAGAGAAATTATGAAATCCTTATGTGGGTTTAATGATTATGCGGGTCGATCTATTTACTTGCTTTCACTGTTTTTATTTACTTTTATTGCCCCTTCCATTATATTAGAGAAATTATAAAGTTCTTTTTTGTCTTAAGGCATAGAAAAGAATCTCAATTGAATAGTTTATTATTTAGTTTACAATCTTTTGATTAGAATCAGTTTACTTGGTGCGCAAAACTTTTTATTTATTTATATTTCCATCTATTAAAATTAATTATTTGATAATAATGGCACTCTCGCAATTCACGTTTTTCCCAAAGTCTGCTCTTGGGCTTTGTTAACATTTTCAGAGTAAACAATTGCTTTGTTAAAAAATAAATAAAAATTAGTGATTATCTAATGTGAGTGCGTAATTGATAATCATTTCCCTCCATTGTGGACTTTCTATTCCATTTAGCCATTCAACTGTTTATTAATTCCACCGTTTAACACTATAAAGTATATATGATTGTTAAAGTCATACATAATACCTAGCTCATTTGAATTCAAAAGCTCTCTTTTAAAACTTGACTTTTGGATATAACTTTGATTAGGCTGATCATATTATTGGTGTGTTCAGACCAAAATAATTAACTTGATTCCCCGTAGGAGATGGAAGATTCTTGTTTATTTTTTATTTCTAATAACTGGTATAAGTATGCCAAGGTCTACACCCTCTCCAAACTCATAGCAAAGGATGGCTAGAGACAAGAATATTGGTCCAATGGTTCTTCTCCTTGTTTTTGGTATGATCTCACATCCTTCTTCAACTATTGTTCCTATTCTTCTCCTTATATCCTACCATCTTGTGAGGACTGAAAGGAGTAAGTTTTTTTCATGACTAATTCATCTTCTTATACCTTTAACCTGGACAAAATTTTGCATCCATCTTTTCCAACATATCTTGAAAATTATCCAATTCAATCCTAGGCACGAAACGTAGGCTAAGAGTTCATGCATGCTGCCTTTATCATATTGAAATATAGAATCATTTTTGGGGGGTAAAATCGTCCCCAGCGATAACATGTTTCAGGTTTTATGAGAGTTTTTTTTTCTTGATTATGATGATACTATGCAGGTTCAATCCTACTGGGAATCAATCCAAGCACAGCCAAAATTTGCCCTCAGTATTGTACGGACCAGGCAGGTTATATGACCTGTCCATCTTCAGGCAATACGCAGCTTTTGCCATCTTGCAATTGTTGCTTAGCTCCGGCAGGCTGCACCATTTACAGAGCTGACGGAACTTCAGTCTGTACTGGTACTTAAAATGAGTGAGCATGGGGCATGCCTTGTATGATATAAATAATTATGGTTTGCCATGAATGGTTTCTAAGTGGCAATATCCATGCTGCCACTGATGAAGAATAATATATGGTCATAATAAATGGGCTTTCCTTGACGCCTAATGCTTCCACTAATTAATGTATATTTGCTTCCTCTGAGACTGGGAACAAGTTGTCAAAAACAAAACGTTAGTAACAACTCACTTCTTTTTATTTGTTAGAATGTACACATTCAACTAAAAATTAATTAGCAATATAATTATAGAAGCTTTAGATCTTTTAAAGCACTAACCAAAGCTTTCTTAATCGTGAGATACTCGTGCTTCACATATGGCATTTCCTCATCCTAACATGTTTCCAATTTATATTAAGTGAGGAGCATGTGCGACTCTCGAACCTAACACGTGAATCCATGAGTGTAAGTCTTACATCGAGCCTTGAGATTCTTTCAAATTTCAAAGATTGCAACTAAGATGGAAAAATCGCAATGAAATTGTGTAGTTTTGAACCGAAAAAATGAAATTCGATAATTAAGTTGGCAATATTCGGAGCAAACGTGAGGCATTATTATGACTATATATTTGGTGCATGCAGCATGGAGTCTTTCCTCTTGGTGCATGCTGCATAGCCTGCATGAATCTTCCACTTTGATCTGGTTTAGAATTTTACATAATTTTCGACTTTCATGAAATAGAGCAGAGCCGGTCCATTATATATGGAGGCCCTGTACGAAAAGAGCTGATGAGGCCCTATATGTATAAGTAAAATAACAAATTTTCAATTTTTTTTTAGGGATAGAGATTAACATGATTTATTAGGTTTCTTGCAATCATATGATGGCTAATTCCAAATGCAACACATAATTTCTAAATTCTAATATGAGAGAGGGAGATGTGGTGGAGGAGCACACATAGCATGCTTTTTGCCTTGCCAAAGAGTAAAGAAGAATTATTATTTTTTGGATGGGAGAGTCAAGAAGAAGTTGGGAAGAAGTGAAATTGGGGCCAAATGAAAGAAGAAGCGATTTGGGAATAGCAAGGAGAGCATGCCGCATGCTGCATGCACGCATGACTCACGAGTATTTTTTTAATTTGTTAATGCTTGGAACAAAAATCTGCACGTTAGGAATAAAAAAATAATGTTTTGGAATAAAAATTTGCTTAGAACGAAAAGTAGCAGAAAATATAATATAATGCTGGGCTTTTAAAAACATTTGGAGGCCCTGTGCAGTTGCACAGCCTGCACATGCCATAGGCCGCCTCTGAAATAGGGTAACGGTTAATTATCAGATAATCATTCAAGAATCAGTCTAATCGGTTAGTCTTACATCAACAGCATCATATAAAATTCACTAATTGAAGTTTATAAGGAAATATATAGGGCAAAGTACAATTAGTTGTGTAACTTTTTCTTTCATCAAACTCTTTTTTATCTTTCTCCTCTCTGTTCTGGTGTTAGTCCGCCTTGTCCACAAGTGGGGCAACCCTTTAGTCCGAATCCTTGGCAATCAAAACACCTAAATCCAAGTGCATAACAAGCTCATTTATATGAGACAATATAAAAAAGATATAAAAAATAAAAATTGTTCTATTCATTAAAAAAAATTTTATAGAAAAAGAACCAAACTAATTTTTTATATTTTAGAGCCAGAAATAACTTACTTCCATCGCTCAAAAATATTCCCATTCTTCTTATTTCTTCCCGTTCCCTGAAAAGTAAGTAGGGGGTGAGATGATATAGTGGCATTGCGTCCCAAACAAAAATGCTAATAGCAGCCATTAAAACTAAAGCAGGGGTACGGATCTTGGATTTCAAAATGATGTGGGCGATTTATCTTAAGGGTGAGTTGTTAATTTTGAACTGGGCTAAACCTTAAACCTTATTCTTTGCCGATCTAGTTGTGACGAAAAAGAAGAAGATTAAATTAAACAGTTAGTACGAGGAGATGAAAATGAAGTGAAATTAAGAGAGCACCTTGCATCCTAGACATTCAATTGCACCTTTGCCTCCACAGGTTTCACACTTTTTCAAGAACTACATGCGAGAAAAAGAGTACAAGAATTATTGCATAAATATATATATGAAATATAACAGCAAATCACCTAAGGTACTTAAATTCGAAGTTTGCTTTCGACTTTTTTTATGCGAATAATTTAGAAAATATTCTTGGTACTCAATTAATTTTCATTTTAAGGCATTATATGTTCATAGTATAAATGGGAGAAAGAAGTGATTTATAGAATATAACTTCAAATCTTATTATAACTGAAAAAAAAAAGAAATGAAAAAGGGCATACAGAGTTGAGTGAAAATCCTCCAGATTTTGCTGCAAAAACTGCAACTGCTCTGGGCCTCTTCTGCTCTATGATGGTTGAGGTAAGCTGAGGGCTAATTGGTACTGCAGGATGAGGATGAGGAGTCAAACTGTTGCAAGACATGGAAGGTTTGATCATCATTTGTTTTCTTTCTTATCAAACCAAGAAGAAATGCATGAGATTTACTCTCCACACTTATAATCAGTAGGCTGTCTCTTCTCCAAAGATATTATTGAGGTGGAATGAGTGAACTAGAAAAATCTCACCACACCCACAAATTTTTATTTGATGGGTCCACTGTTTGGCCTTCCACAAGACAAGACAAGTAGACCATTCAAATAATTACAAGTAATTATATACTTGGCAATCTTTGCTAGACATACTTCAATGGATAAGGGTTATTTTTTCTTTTCTTTTGGGCCTCAGTATAGAGGGTTAGAAATGAATGTAACAGTCATGACTGGAGCGCGCCTTTCTCCAATTATAAGTACACAACTATTTTCTCTTTCCCAATTAGGGTGTGTAAATTGGAGATGTAACATATCTACACCTAAGAAATTGTTGTTCTAGTTGACCAAGAGATTGCAAAATTAATATCTTGCATTTCTTATAACAAGAAATAATCCTAGTCTCTCAAATTCTTTTATAGTTAGTAAAATATGGAACGGGAAAATACGAATAAAATACGTACGTGTTTTATTTGGCAAGTTACAATTGAAAATTTCGGCCATTGTATAATATTTTAATATATACTGTTTTCATTAATATGTGAAAATTAAGTGTATAATACGTGAATTTTGTGTGTATTATTGAAAATTTTGTAAACAACATATGTATTAAACATGAAAAATACGTACATACGTGTATTGTATATTTAATTTTTTTTAAATGTGTATTTTACCGAGTCTTTAAGATGTGTACAAAAAACAAAAGTATTATTGAAAAATACATATGTATGTGTGTAATATGAGGATTAAACCGGAAAATGCTAAATTCTTTATATAGGCAATAACTTTAGAAAAGTAAAAAATTAAAAGGGGACAATAAAGACTTGGGTAATGGCCTAATTGTGGTGAATAATGCTCTAAACTACTCTTATCGATAAACGAAAATCAGAGAAAAAAATTATATAAAAAAAAGTATCACAGTATATATTTGAAGCGTATAGCCGCGCGGCTATACTATTTATTAAAAAAAGTTAAAAAGAGAACCCAGTATAGCCGTGCGGCTATACCCTTTAAATATCATATATTTCCAGAGTATAGCCGTGTGGGTATACGACGTAATATTTTTTTTTTAAAATAAAAAGGACCCGCCTAGCTGCTAGGTGGCATGTTTTTTCTACGCGTATAGCCGCGCTGCTATACGTTGTAAATATATTATATTTACAAAGTATAGCCATGCGGCTATACTATTTATTTTAAAATAAAATAAAAAGGCTGCAGGCTATACTCTTTAAATATATTATATTTAAAAAGTATAACCGTGCGGACATACTATTGATTGAAAAGAACTAAGAAAAAAAGAACCCATTATATGTGTGCTGTTTTTTTTTTTTTTTTTTTTTTTTTTTTATTATAAAAAAAGACTGCCTAATAGCACCTAGCTGGCTGATTGATTGATTGATTTTTTAAATTTATTGAAAGAGTATAGTCGCATGGTTATACTCCGCGTGGCTATAGGATTTTATTAACAAAATAAAAAAATAAAAAAATCTACAATAAGAACTAACATCATGAAATGCACCTCAACTTGATCAACCTCTTGCAATAACGTTGATTGTTGGAGTTTTAGGACTCATTCTATAAAGGGTATCTTTTATCGCTAATTATTATAAATTTTATTTATTTATTATTATTATTATAAAAGTACCCACCTCGCCAATGCCTTGTATCGCTACTTATTATAAAAAATAAAAAATAAAAAATAAAAACAAGGAAACAGAAAATTAAAAATCAATCAAAATTACGTTGCAAGTTCAGTTCAACAACTTGTCTTTCATTTCAGCTTCCCAATCGAACACTATATATAATCGAAAATCGAAAATTTCAGTTCTTTCGATTTTTCGTTGAACTCTCAACGAAGCTTCATCTACTCTGCAGAAATGGCGAAGCCTGAGAATTCGAAGCCCAATATTCCCCACTACGTTCGTTCCTCCGCCAAAGTCCACCCCTCCAACGACTTCGACGCCGACCCCAACTCCTACTCCCTCGAGAAATTCAAGCTTTACGAAACCAGACAGGTGCCCACTCAATCTGTCCCAAATTCTAGGGTTTCCAATTCTTCATTCTTCTGAGACTATTTGATTGTGCATTGGATCAGCGGTTTTACTTGATTGGGAGCGATCGGAACAAGAGGTTCTTCCGGGTGTTGAAGATCGACAGATCGGAGCCCGACGATTTGAACATCAGCGAAGACCCCGTCGTCTACTCGCCACAGGAGATCAAGAGCCTGCTTCAGAGAATCGCAGAGGGCAACCGTGCCACCGGAGGCCTTACCTTTGTGGCCAAGGTTTTTGGGATCGCCGGTTAGTGTCTTAGAGACCTCATTTTCATGCTTGTATGAATTCAAATTCACGTCCTAGTTCACTCTATGAAGACCCTTGTGTTATGTTTTTATATGGGCTTTTGGTGTTTTGTAGGTTGCATTAAGTTTCTGGAATCTTATTACTTGATTTTGGTCACCAAGCGTCGGCAAATAGGAAGTATATGTGGTCATGCGATTTATAGTATAGACGAGAGCCAATTGATTACTATTCCGCATGTATCAATGCAAACTGATATCGCTCATTCTAAGACCGAGTTGCGGTAATTTCTTCCCTTATTCTGATGTTTCTCTGTTCTGTGTATATTTAAATAATAGCTTAATGTGCCAGAGGTATATCAAGTCTAAAAGATATTTGGTTGCGTTTACGGTCACTGGGTTATTTAATGGTATAATCAACATGGTCTCTCACCATTTTGCTCATGCATCAGGCTTGTACACTAACAAGAGGGCAAAAAAAAAGGATAGAAAACAAAGCGTTCAAAGTAAAACCTGTTTTGTACGTGTAGCTCAGGGACACTAGGGTGAGGTTTCCCTTGAAGTTTCATGGAGCCACTTAAGTCATTAGCACTGAGACAGCTACCCACAGTACAACAGTGTTAGCACAGGAAAGAAAGAACGCTGATTTGTATTTGCTAATGTCCAGTAAGAAAAGAGAAAGCTTGATTTAGAGTTTACATATTTGGCTTACCTAGACAAACCAAGTGATGGTTGCACAAATATACTGTCCACAAATGACCCTGGTAATGATTTCATTTACAATCTACGTAGTGTCTACATGTTAGTACATGGAGAATGGTATGATTGGGATGTATATGTTTTAAGATGTAAAGTGACTGGTGAAGAAAATGCCATCTCCTGTGGAGACCGTTGAAGTAAGAACTCTGCACTTAATATATGAGTTGGAAGATACATATATATTTTTTGCTTCATGTACCACTTGTGGATGGGCTTATAAGAGTGTTCTTTCCATTATTTAATCAGTAGGTGGTTTCATATTTAGAAAGGCGAACATATTGTAATGGGACTCTGCAGGCTTCAACTTTCGCAGCTTCATACCTACCAGCTAATATACTTGATATTTCAACTTGTATAGAATATTACTTATATTTTTATCTCTTAATTGCAGGTACAAGAAGCTTCTATCCAGTGTTGATTTGACCAAAGATTTTTTCTATAGTTATACATATCCTATAATGCAAAGTTTGCAAAAAAATGTGTTATCAATGGGTGAAGAAGGGATGCCGTATGATAATATATTTGTATGGAATGCCTATCTAACACAAGCTATTCGATCAAGGTGCAATAACACTATCTGGACAATAGCATTAGTGCATGGCCATTTTAAGCAGGTATGCAACTCTCTCTCTCTCTCTCTCTCTCTCCCCCTCTCCCTCTCACTCTCACTTATGTGTGTGTGTTAATGTGGTAATGGGATTTTATTTGGTTCAGGGAATCCATGTACTCTACATTTTTTAATTGATATAATTTGGTTATACCTTGTGTATTTATTTCTCTTGTGACATATGTATATATATATCATGTACTAAAGGATTTCTGACTTTTGGTGTATTGACTGATGTTTTAGGTGTCTTATTCACTGGTTATTCATGTTTCTTGTATTTCCTTATGTTTCTTCTTGATAAAACTTGTGTTTCCTATGAAAAAAAATCTAATTAACTAAAGACTTAAATATATGAATGGAGTTTATTTTTCTTGATGATGGCAGATTAGGGTATCAATCTTTGGAAGGGACTTCAGTGTTTCTCTGGTCTCTAGGCGCTCTCGGCATTTTGCAGGGACACGGTATGTTCTAGTTTTGAATATCACGTTCACACTGTATTCATTTCTTCAATTATTCAGAAAGCAGTCCATATGGCATTTTTTTTTTTTTTTTTTTTTTTTTTTTTGTCTTTAGTTTTATGTACGTGGTTCATGGTATTTTGGAATGGGATTTTAATGGTATAGGATTATGCTAGTAGACCTGGGTTAAAAGAGTTACTCAGTTTTTCCTTTTTAGTTCAGTTATCTGATACTTTCTTGTTATAATTTAAATATTTGTGTGGAAGGGTTCTTTTGATTGTATGTAGTCTTTACTAGTATGGTATTGATTAAAATGGTTCATTTTCTTTCGTGAAATATGTGAAGTTCAATTTCTTTAGCTTTCATATTTTGAATTGAATACTTATTTAAACAATGAAGTATGAGCAGCAATAATTGTTTCAAGTGAAATATAATGTTCAGTTAAACATATATAACGTGCAACATGTCTTCAAGACTGAGTCTGATGTAAAAATGATTATATCTCATAAACAGTTCATCTTTTGCTTCTTCCTTGATGGAAATTATGAATTATCCCCTGTGATGTACTCAGGGAAGGACTGAAGGACGAGGAGCAACAAACAAGGTCAGCTTCTCTTTTTGTCACATCGGATTGGATTTCTTTTTCAATGCATTCCTTTGTGACAGAATATGGGAGAAGATTTGTTTTGTTTTGTTCCTCCCCTTAAAAGATTCAAGACAAGACTTTTCTCTCTCTCTCTCTCTCTCTCTCTCTCTCTCTCTCTCTCTCTCATGCT